ACATAAAAGTCTAGCTACATATTACATAGATATCACCTTAACTGGCACTATACTACTGCTGTTGCTATAGTATACCATATATACAGCACATTATTTTTAATTAGCAGCGCAAACTACCCATTTAAGTGCAGCAGTAGATCTACAGACTTTTAAAATTTAATTTTTTCAAAAAACTTATCTACAAAACTATTTTAAACAGCATATTAAAATAACTATTAAGAATTAAAAGCAAAGTTATTTGAGGCGTCATTATGAAATGCTTTAACAGAAGGTGTATAATGCATTGGGATTTTTGAAATAAGGTATAGGTGACTTCATTGAATTATGAATAATTAGTTTAGTACCTGCTGATGGTTTTCAGACAATACAGTTCACTGTTGGTGGTGAAACTGTTGAGTGCTGTGACCTTTCATGTTAGAATAGCTTGAAATATTTTAAAAAGTCCTGTGAATTCACTCATTCTGTAAACAGCTAATAGTCGTGAAAATTAGCAGCCACTAAGATGAAATTAGCTCTAATGTTTATGGGGTGAAGATCTTTTGTTGTTTGTCATGAGGATATTGTCTGGAAAACTTCAAAGCGAGATCCATTCCACCTGTAAATGAATGAGTTTATACAGGTAATGCTTAATGAGAGATCACCTTTGGTGGTAAAGAAATTTGTTTTTATGGTCTCCAGAAAATAGACAAAAAATTGAACAGATGATGTTTAAGGGGTGCTTGGGAGGGTGATCCAGTCAGTGAGTGTTTATTGTTTGTCATAAGAGTGAGAAAGATCTTGCTTGTTGTCGTTCCAAACGTACTATCTTCAGCCTCATTGGAGATAAAAAGAAAATACATGAGAATAAATAAGTTTGACAGTTCAATGATAATATTTGATATTTGATAAAATTTGCTTTAGTCAATTTGCTATTTATATGATTGACACCTTTTAAAATGACTAATTTTTGAGATAAACATGCACATAGGTAAAATTTATGTCTGCACTAGCTAAGTCATTCAAATACAAAAAAAAGTGAGAGAGTAATAGAGAGAGAGGAGGAAAATGAGTGAAAGAAAAGAGTGAATAAGAGAAAAATATGAGGAAATAAATGACTACTATTACATTTTTAAAACTTCATTGCAACGTCAGCTTTATATTTTAAACTAAATTCTACAATAGCCATCTATAAGAGTGCATAGTTGGAGTAAAAACAACTGCTAGTACAAATATAGCAACTACAACAACAACAACCAAACAATCTATTATAAAGAAATGTAGCACACTTGAGGAAGCCAATTGATCTGTTATGATAAAACAGCACAGTCAAAACACACAAAGTACAGAAATTAGCACAACAAACAGAATACGAAGAGAAAATGTTCAAGCAGAGAACTAAAACTTTACAAACTGGCGGCAGAACTTACCAAGTTTAACTCTATTTATACATACAGGAGTAATGGTATCTGTATGGCCTATAACTGACTGTAATCACAATATTCCAAAATAGGCGCATGCAAGGAATAGTGTTCTAAAGCTTGATTTGTATAATTATTTGAAGCAAAACTAAAATAACAATATTATTGAGATTTTAATTTTTTTGTGTGATTAACTAAATTACTACCAGTAGCTCTAAATATGTACATGTATATACATTCAATATTTCACGCTTTTTGGGCATCATTTTGAATCAAAATTAAATTTTTATAAAGGAAAACCATAACTAATTATACTAACTAAAAGTTAACAGCAGTACATTACTCAGTAAATTATTCTACAAACGTTTGAGCACAGTCACAGCAGACTACAGTGTTTTTGTCGACTGGAAGAGGAAGGCCATTCTTTGGACGCTCACACATGTCACAAGTGTAGTCATAAACTATCACATACTGCCACTGCTTTGTAAATAGATGCTCAACAGTCGTAAATGCATCAGTAAAATTCTCCAAAGCTGTCTGCATTCCTCTGCTTCCAAGAACCCTCTCCTTGTTTTTGCTTTTGTTTGCCGTTTGAACTAGCCTTAAAGCTTTCACTGCCCTCTTTTCACCATGTTCAACATTGGCTAAAAATTCATCCCATAAAAAGATGGACTTTTTTAAGTCAGCTGTTGCTTTCTTCATCTCTTGTAGACGCTCTATGCCATAATCACATTCCTGCCTCAATTTTTCAAGTTCCTGTGACAATATTTTGACTCCTTTCCTTAATCGTTGTATTTGGGATTCCTTGTTTTTGACATAGACTCGTGATTTTTTATAACTGGATTCATTCAACTTTATGTTGTCTTTGCTCACTTGCACTTGTTTTCCCAAAACTATTATAATTGACTTGGTGTAAAGGTATTTCAGACTTGTTTTTTTCAACTTTCGTAGACTAGCCTCGCAATCTTTCTTATGCTTCTCTAGTTCCTTTTTCTTGTTTTGCAAATCCTTCTTCCTGGTGTCGTAATGATTGTGTTGCTGCCTGGCCTTGGCTAACTCACTTTCTAACTCATTTTGTTTTTCTTCTTTGTCTTTCACCTCTGACTCCAGCTTGTGTCGTCTCTTCATTATGTTTTCTTGCTGGCATTCAGCATAAGCCTCAATAACTTGGAGACGTTTTAGATAGATCATGACCATAATGGCTACATGCTTGCTCTGCTGCTCAATTTCAACTAAATTTTTAGAAGCTTTTACAGTATCAAATGACGACAATAATTCCTTAGCTTCTATAGCTAGCTCAGAGCATCGATAAACAGTGGTGTCTATTTTTGGCTGAACCCAACTCCCGTATACTTGAATGCTATCTTCAAGTCGAAGATCACGATCACTGTAGCTCAGCAAATAAGCTTCAATATCGTGAAAATGTGTGCTAAGATTGGAAATGATGTCATCGATAGACTGCATTGGAAAAGCTGCTTCAATACTTGTTAGAAATTCTTGAGGCTTTATGTGATTGATATATTTAAAACACATTTTGCTAAGTGCTATCCAGCTTGCACTGATCTTAATAACTTTTACTTTGAATTCGTCAAAATTTTTATCTTGCACCTGTGGTGTGCTTCCATTTATATCGCCAGTCATGCTCACTATAGCTCTTAACCATTTTGCTATTTCATCCCACAAGACAAAAAGACGGTGAGCAGCATCATTAAGTATAGCTAGTGTTTCGGCATCATCTGGTTCAGCAAGCCTTTGATCATTTTTTGAAAAATTAGCTAAGGTGCAATATGCCTCTGGTAGGGTGTTTTCAGATTGTAGAAATGTGGTAAAACCATCATTTGTGATTTTAGCCATCTTCGTAACCAAAAGCAGCTGCATATTTGTTGCCTCCAGCATTACTTCAGATAGGCCAGTAATGCTTTGTAGTAGAAGTTTTGCTTCGGTGTTTCTGGGAGGTCGACAGTCATACAAACACTCCATGGTGTATTGGAGCTTCTTTGCCATTTTTATTGCAATATCTTTAAAAAGGAAAAGGTATATTTCGGTTGCCTCAATATATTTTGTTAGTCGGTTGCATTGGCTTCCTAAACGAATGGCATCTCTCTTGCTGCATGTTTGTATCACGGAAACTGAGCGAGTGATAATCGTCCTGACGCAGGCGGAATCTGCAAGAGCCAGGTCACAAAACCGTTCAAGATTCTTGGTGTATTTTTTGACGATGGGAGAGCTGTCGTCTGGCAGATCAAGGAGCCAGTATATGCATCCTAAATCCGGTATTTTCACACGAAAAGGGCACTGTTCCATTTGTTCTCCTTCATCTTCCATCTCGAGTAAGTCTGCTGATCACTGACATCACGTGACATTAGTTAGCGCCGGCAGAGCGGCGCTATCGGCGCTGTGATGAAATAAAAAGACGAAAAGGATTTTAAAAATATTATCATTCTAAACTCGGGGTGGAAATGGCTGAAATAGTTCTAGAAGGGCATACTTATTCAATTGCAGAGCTACCCGATGCTACAAGTCCATTAGTCTTACAAGAGCAAAGGCGTCTCCTCGGAGTAATCAATTTAGAGGCGCTGGTTGATGATCTTGGACGAGTAGGAAACTGCGTCCGTATTGCTTACCATGGTGTTACAGGATTTGTAGACCTACAGATTGAAATACAGCGAATTGGCTACGACGTGACTAGGCTGTGCGATAAATCTGCAGTCACGGTTGGAAAATTCAAAAATGCTTCAACCACAGTTCTGGGATCTCTGAAGGCTACGTATGAATTCTTGATGGAAAACTTTGAAGACATGGCAATTGATACTTTGGCTGATGTAGCTGAAACTGCAAAAGGAATGGCAACTGCAGCAGAAGAGCTTCGTGCAGATTTTGACAACCAAGCCAAAAAAGTTGTTGAAGCTTTGGAAAAAACAGAGAAAACTCAAGATACAGAAGAAAAAAGAAAGAAAAAAATGGAAGAAGATCGAAAAGATATGGAGGCTGAGAAAGAAAAACAGGAAAAATTAGAAAAAGAAGCAGCCGAAGCTCAGCGTAAAGCAGAAGCCATGGCACAAGCAGCAGATAACAAAGAAAATGATGCTATCCAGGCCATAATGAATATTAAAGAGGAGGAACGACATCGTAGTGAAAACACTGGCTTTTGGAAGAAATTGTCTAATGCTTTTACTGGTCGAGATACTCGAGCAGCAGCTGCAGTTGATGCTAGTCTGCGAACACAAGAAGATAAGGCAAAAGCTGCTAGGGAGGAAAAGATGAGACACTTGACACTGATGCAACAGAAAGAAGATATGCGTAGCAAAGCACTTGCTGAGCTTGCTGCATATGTTAAACGCATCCAAAACATGAAAGCTGGTGAAAACGAAATAGAAGCCGTAATTGATGCATTGCAGAATGCTATTCGAGCATTAAAGTCTCTTTCTGCAGTCATGATGCAGGCAGCTCTTTTTTGGTATCAGCTTCAAGAGCATTGCGAATTCCTAGCTAAAGGGGAAATGAAAGAAATGATTGAAAAGGCATTAAAATATCCAGAAGAGAGGCGCTTGAAATTTTGGAATTCAAGCGGGTTTAAAACAAAAGCTGTTACATACTATGCTGGCTGGGTTGCTCTTGATCATGTTTGTGGCATTTATATGGAGCGTATAATGCTAACCCAACGTGAGCTCTACACATACATCCAGGAAGCTCTACGCAAAGAGGATGCCCAAAAGAAGGTCAAGGAGTTAGCCAATAGTTTTCTGGTCGATTTGGAGTCACAGCAAAAAGCAATTGCAGAAAGAAAGGAAACACAATTAAAGGAAATGGAAGAGCTTAAAGAAAAGGGCAAAAAAGCTGATGAGGAAGCTGCAGCAAAGAAGGATGCTAAATAGGAACTTAGCTGTATTTACTAATGAGTGATTAATCAATAATTAATGTGTACAAGCTTGACAATTTAATTTTGTATTATATAGATCTAGTAAAAGTAGTTTGGTTGTTTTTCAACAAAAATTTCATTTAAATTTAAAAAAATTATACTCCACTAGTACCAGTGCTCACTCTACATAGTTTCCCAAATGATGCCCCACAATTACATATGCATAGTGTCACATGCCAGTTTGACCATAAAACAAATAAGTTCTATATTACAAAGGCCACACAGTAGTGGCGCAGAGTAGCAGTGTGCTATAGCCGCATCACTGGGATGTCCCTCATATAAGGTCAAAATAACAACAGCTGCATAGTACAGCAAAAGTACTCATTATACAACAACATAGCCATACGGATAGTTTGAACAAAAGAATTCTGACTCATATAGTGGCCGCATAGCAGCTGCACACAATTAAAAGAGCAAAATGGGTTCTCCCTTATATGATAGGTACTAGTTCACCTACTAGAGTCAACTGTATTATAATATGTAGTAGGCTAGTAGCACACTATACCAGTCTACTCTATAAAAACAATTCCAAGTAGCATTATCACTACTAGTGCCTATTTTAATATGAAACTAAAAGCAACTAACCATGGCTACACATAACTCCCTCCCTCCTATAAGTCTAAAAGCAATTCTATATCATTAGTTAATGGGCAATGAGCAAGCACAGTGATTAAATGGTAAGTTACATGTACACATACACATTATGAACAGACATTGCAATTGCAATTAACATAGCAGTTATACGTATTTCCATTGTCAGCAATGGGTCCTGTTATAATTCATAAGATACTAATAACTATAGAGTCACAAATTTCTTATTATAAAACACCATGTACTTGTACCAGACCTGTGATAGATAGGTAACTAGATATTCAAAAGCAATATGTGAATTTTTTATGCCAAGTCAATACATTTATGTAAACACCAATGTTCAAAACACAATGCAAGGCTTGTGGGTAATCAATTAAATTAGAAGGTATTTCTTAGTCATGAAACATCAGGAATGAGTTGTACATAAGCCACTCCTTATGATTAATAATTAACAGTTAAACGTGCATAGTTTATCTAATTGCATGTACAGGGGAAATTTGTCTGAAATGACAAATTTGTCTGAAATGACACTCATTATTAAGAAAATGAAGAGCTAGTAAATTACATGACATATAACCTTACCTCCATCATTGTGACAAATTTTGGAAACATTTAGTTCCTATTGAGTACTATATTTAAAAGTTGTTATCATCTGATCATTCACTTAAGTTATAGTTTAATAGACTATAATAGGAGCAAAAATAGAGAAATGGGAGAGGCGAGAGGAAAACAGACATGGGGTAATATTATTATGGTACTAATTTAAAGTTCGGTGTAAAGTCATAATAATAATAATAATAATAATAATAATAATAATAATAATAATAATAATAATAATAATAATAATAATGTTGTACAATAATAGCTTGTAAATGGCATTAAGAGTATAATATTATATACTCATGCATAACTTAACTTTTTGGTAATATTTAGTAATGTTTAATTATAATTAATGCTCAGATCTGGGGATTAATTACAAAACCTCAATTATAATTATACTCCTTTTGTAAAAATAGACTCAATTAGATAGAATTATATGCCATGTTAAATTAATTTCCAGTAATATGGCTTAATTGCTTTGAAAAAGGCAGTTCAGCTGTCATAGAAGTAAGAACGTTATCACATCACCAAGGTTTCTCACAAAGTATGCTAAGTGATAAACAGCACACTTTATGCAATACACTATAGTGCATGCCTTTTGAAGTAACTTCATAAAAAAAATTCAATTTTGATTGGAATCAGCTCAAACTATCAGAGCATATATATGTACAGAAAAATTTATAAAAATGGGAAATTCTCTCCTATCAGTGTTTTTTACAAAAGCTCTATAAACAGCACACCTCATGAGCTGGCAAGAAGCTGAGCACTGTATTGGGAAACACTGCTTGTCACACTTTTATCTACATGTGTACAGTGCATTTACATGAGCATGTAATGTGACGGTTGATTGAAAGCATTTCCCTGCATCAGTATTGATTCAATAATCAGTACAGTACAACTCAATTTTGATAAAAATCCAATTGGATTTACCTTAGGATTTTATATATCCTAAATTTTCAAAAAGATATAATGTCCAAATGAACTTAAAATTACAAATTACCCTAATGCTCCTTTTTTATTTGCTAAATTCAATGACCATAACTCAAAAATGTAATTAAAGAAGCTTAAACTCCCTACATAGCATAAAGACATCAATATGTATCAAAAATATAACTGATTTGAAGGAAATTTGAGCATGGGCTGTATATGATACATTTTATCAAATATTTAATTTTGCCATAAAACATGCATAATGACATTAATGTTCTCTATTAAATAAAAACTATTTTTTAAATCTTGTGCTGCATAAGCTTCGTCATTTAAAGTTCCGCTGTGTGTACTATTAAAAAATAACATGGGTCATTCTTATTTAAAATATCAGCTATTCAAATACTTGTACTTTAAAAATAAGTGATGAATGCAAGACACTGCTTTCTAAAATATTTTTACTGCATTTGACTCTCACCCCACTCATAAACTAAATTTGTGATTGCTAATCAATTAGCTCAAACTTTCTGTCATAAACTTAGGCCATAATTTAATTTTTCAAATGATCAAAAATTATATATACATACCACCAAAATAATGTGAGCAAGAGTATGTAATACTTTTTCATCATTAAGTATAAAAATACTATGAAGATAATTATAAGTCTTGCAATTGAAGGGGAGCTGAATGGTCAGTATTTCAGTAACATTTTATCCCAATGTCTAGGACACTGTAGCAAGGAGTTCACCCGACATATATATGGCCATTGGCCAGGGGCTTAGGTAACTTTGAAAAGTGGGGAGGGGTAACTCTAACTCTGGCTAAGGAATGCATTGGACACCATGGGCACCTTTAGGCATAAGTATATAAGTAAAAAATTCCTCTAAATTCTAAGGGGGCTTCAGCCCCCCCTAGCCCCCCATTGCCTATACCAAGCTTGTATATCCAAAGCCAATTACATCTAGAAACTTACATTTTGTTGTTGCTCCAAACTCCTGCTCTATTTGCTGATCTGCATGGCCATGAAGAATTTAAATAATATTAGTCATGCATTGCATTAATTATTAAGACAAACTGTCAAGCAAGATGTGGAAGTTTGTGGTTGCCTGTTTGTCAGTTAACTACCGGGTAGTCTTAAAAGAAAATGGCAGCTAGACCCACAGTAAGTAACTGTATATATAAATCATTATATTGTCGTTATTTATAGAAGCCATTAGATCAATATAGAGTAGTTGTGATTGGTGAAGAAGGAGTGGGAAGGAGAAGTATCATATCCAAATATACCGATGACGATAAGCCATTTACTGGTTAGTAAAAGTGCATGTAGCTGATAGTTATAGTTTACTTTATATCATAGATTCTAAATTTAAGAAAAAGATTGTTGAGCTCGATTCTGAAACCATTGAGATAGAGATATCATATGAAAATGTTCATGAGAAAAAGAGGCAATATGCTGGATGGGTATGTTTGTTTAGTATTGTAATGGTGCCACTACAGAGGCATCGCTGCCTAAGGGGCAGGTAGGGCAGTTGCCCCACCAATATTTTGAAGATCAGTAGCCCATATGAGTTATTAATTTAAGTTAATTCATTTAATAACTATGCAACGAAAGACTTAATCACTGCTTACTTCTTCACACACACCAACAACTAACTGATAATGTAGAAATACAGTTGGTAGTTGAGCAATTTATTGCTGGAAACGAACGCCATATGAATTTTAGGCGTCAATAAATCACTATTATTATTAATTAATTAATCACCACACCTACTATATAATCAGCACACTATTTTGTGAATTTTAATTTCACGAATTTATTTAAAATGTGAAAATTGCAAAATTTAATCCCCACAAAATATATGGCGTATATAATACATCATAAAATATTAGCTTCATGTTTTACTAATGCATGTTTATAGGGCATCATGCTGATCTATGATGTCACTAATAATAAATCATTTGATGCAATTAAGAATTTAGATAGGCTGTTGTTTAGAAGAGTAAGACTATAAATGTATAGACATCTGTGCTGTATGCTTCCATTGGTTGTTAATCTAGTTTGCTACAAAAAGATTGCTGGTAGGTAACAAGGTAGACCTGAAGCGACAGAGAGTAGTCCCTAAGGATAAAGGAGAGCAACTGGGTCAGGAGAGGAACATCCCATTTTTAGAGACATCAGCTGTTACAGGCACTAACATTGATATAGCTTTTGAAACCATTGTCAGAGTAAGTTATAATTGTTTAAATCAACACTGTTTATTTGTATTTGTGTAAAAACAATGGTGTATTATCCTGATGTAATTCTTCAGAATATTAAGAAGTATGATTTTGTAAGTTATTTTCACTCTCACACATTGTATTTTATTTATAAATATTACAGGATGAAGCTGTAAGTGACTGTAAATTAATTAACTGAAATTAATGTTCAACGTTTCCTTATTTACCTGTATACTTTCTTCTTTTATTGATTCAGCTTGTAAGTTTTATTTACACTATTCATTAATGATTAATTGTTATTTTGTCTCTCTGCACAATTAATGCTACGTGTGTGAATCTTCATAGCTTGTAAGTTTAATTTTAAACTGATTAAATGTTATTTGTTTCTCCTTACTAATAATGCTACCTGTGTGAATTATATGTTTCTCATAGCCTGTAAGTTTTAATCTAAACTACTCATTAATGATTGAATGTTATTTGTCTCTCCTTACAAATGTTACCTGTGTCAATTATATTCTTCTTTCTATTGGCTCAGCATGTAAGTGTAATTTTTTACACTATTTATTAATGATTGAATGTTATTCATCTCTCCTTATACTACCTGTGGTATTCTTCTTTTCATTTGTTCAGATAGTAAGTCTAATTTACACTATTCATTAATGACTGAAAATTATTTGTCTTCTCCATACAAATGCTACTTATGTCAATTATAATTATTCTTCTTTCTATTGGTTCAGCTTGTAAGTTTAATTTACACTATTGATTAATGACTTAATGTTATTTGTCTCTCTTTACTAATGCTACCTGTGTAAATTATATTTCATCTTTTTATTGATTCAGCGAGTAAGTTATTATTATTAATGATTTATTGTTATTTGTCTCTCCTTACAAATGTTACCTGTGTGAATTATATTCTCTTTTTATTGGCTCAGCTTGTAAGTTTAATTTACACTATTCATTAATGACTTAATGTTATTTGTCTCTCTTTACTAATGCTACCTGTGTCAATTATATTTCATCTTTCTATTGATTCAGGATGTAAGTTTAATTCACACTATCTATTAATGATTGAATGTTATTTGTCTCTCCTTACAAATCCTACTTATGTCAATTATATTTCTTCTTTCTATTGCTTCAGCTTGTAAGTTTAATTTACACTATTGATTAATGATTGAATGTTATTTGTCTCTCCTTACAAACATTACCTGTGTCAATTATATTTCATCTTTCTATTGATTCAGCGAGTAAGTTTAATTTATATTTTTCATTTACAATTGAATGTTATTTGTCTCTCCTTACAAATGCTACCTGTGTGAATTATATTTCTTTTTCCTATTTGTTCAGCCTGTAAGTTTAATTTACACTATTCATTAATGATTGAATGTTATTTGTCTCTCTTTACTAATGCTACCTGTGTAAATTATTTCATCTTTCTATTGATTCAGCGAGTAAGTTCTAATTATTAACGATTTATCGTTATTTGTCTCTCCTTACAAATGCTACCTGTGTGAATATCCTTTTATTGGCTCAGCCTGTAAGTTTAATTTACACTGTTGATTAATGATTGAATGTTATTTGTCTCTCCTTACAACTGCTACCTGTCTGAATTATATTTCTTTTTCCTATTTGTTCAGAAAGTAAGTTAATTTACACTATTCATTAATGATTGAATGCTATTTGTCTCTCCTTACAAATGCTACTTATGTCAATTTTATTCTCTTTTTATTGGCTCAGCCTGTAAGTTTAATTTACACTATTCATTAATGATTGAATGTTATTTGTCTCTCCTTACAAACATTACCTGTGTCAATTATATTTCATCTTTCCATTGATTCAGCGAGTAAGTTTAATTTATACCATTAAATCAATGATTGAATGTTATTCGTCTCTCCTTACAAACGTTACCTGTGTGAATTATTTTCTTTTTTCTATTGGTTCAGTCTGTAAGTTTAATTTATATGTTTCATTTAAAATTGAATGTTATTTGTCTCTCCTTACAAATGCTATGCTTATATGAATTATATTTCATCTTTCTATTTGTTTAGGCTGTAAGTTTAATATTATACTTTTCATTTACAATTGAATGTTATTTGTCTCTCCATACAAATGCTACTTATGTCAATTATATTCTTCTTTCTATTGGTTCAGCTTGTAAGTTTAATTTACGCTATTCATTAATGACTTAAATGTTATTTGTCTCTCTTTACTAATGCTACCTGAGTAAATTATATTTCGTCTTTCTATTGATTCAGCGAGTAAGTTTAATTTACACTATATATTAATGAATGAATGTTATTTGTCATTGTCCACTGTTCATGACCACTCCTATCCTCCTCATCATGTCCACCCACTGATACAGGAGAAGCTTCATTACCAGCAGGCAGTGGATCCTTATGTTGAGGGATACAGCACAGATGAGGATGGGACTGTTGCTAGCTCTTTGCTTGATGACTACTTGCAATTTGAGCCTTCTTCTCTTAAACATGACTTTCTCTCTCTCAGTGTTGATGACATTAAACGGAGTTCTACTGATCCTGTAACTGTAAGTTCAATTTACACTATTCACTGATGATTTGTCTCTCCTTACAAATGCTACCTGTGTCAATAATATTTCTTCTTTTCATTATTTGTTCAGTCTGTAAGTTTAATTTACACTATTCATTGATGATCGAATGTTATTTGTCTCTCCTTACAAATGCTACCTGTGTGAATTATATTTCTTCTTTTTATCTTATATTAGTTACTGAATGTTGTTTGTTTCTTATTACAAATTGTTTTTCTTCAATTTTTAACATTTTTCAAACTGTATATTTTTTGCATAATTTTTTAGTCATCTGTTCTATCTCAAGCTCGTGATAAACTTATAACTCACTTTGATACAGGTCATAAAAAAAGTAAAGGTATCAATGTAATTTGGTTTTTAAGATTATTTATGTATGTATTCATATAATTTGCCTTATAGAAAATTATGTTCTCTCTGAAAAGAGTTTCCCTTTGACTTGTGACACAGATAATACTGTTAATTTACAAAAATGTGGTTTAGTTTTGTATTTTCCTCAGAAAGTAATCACAACTCTAGTTGAGTCACCAGCAGCTATTAGCTATGATGTGACAGTTAAGGGATTATGGGCTGAGCAATTTTTATTTCCTAAAGGAACCCAGCTCATCAGCTCTGTCACATCAATTGCTCTCAATTCTCCTTTGCCATTAGATAAGCCAGTCACTGCTCAGTTAATGCACTGTGCTAGCATTACTGATCAATCTCAGAGCAAGTATCTCAGTTTTATTGTCTCACATTCATCTCAACCTCCTTTTGAGTTTGAGCTCTTACCAGGAGGGGAATTCCTTGCAGGTTCAAAATATGGTACCATACAGTTAAAGGAGTTCTCATTGATTGCTATTGTATTGGTGGTGTCAGCTACTGCAGCAATTGCAACTGCCATTGGATGTAAGTTTAATCAATTCAATATTTACTGCTATGCCTTTTTTATTCAATTAGATCAATTTTTCCAGGTTCCTTTACTGAGATGTCAAGGATTGATTTATTACAAGAGAGAGTCTGAAAATATGAAAATGAGTTTTGCAGTTTTAAATGACCTTCCTCACAATGATGCAATTATTAAGTTTAAAGTGAGTCTCTCTAATACATGAATAGATGTTAACAATTGAGTACTTGTAGAAGGAGTCTTATAAGAAATTTGGAGAAGAGGAATGGAATTTTCCTTTTCAAATGAGAACAGATAGCCAACTTGAGCTGCACTTTCCTCCAGATAAGCCAATTGGATGGACAGTACTACCACTTAGAAAACCTCCTACAGTAATGAAATAATTATAGCTTTTAAAAAGCATAATGTTATGATTGATTATAGATACATGAGAGAGATGTTTGTGCCTACACTGAGTCACAGACCTCAAGTGACCTTCCTCCATATATTTCTGTAATACTGCAAGCAACAGCAACAGCTGCTGAATGGCTTAGCTATGAAATCACTGTCAGTGGAATCAATATAGACAAGAAAGACAGTATTGCTATTGTAGTGCATAAATCCAGAAATTCTTGCAGTAAGTTTAGTTTTATGTTGAAATTATAATTATATGACTGCTACATGTGTGCACTTTTAGTTTCATCTATACCTTCATTGGAGCTTGCACCAGCAGTTATTGAAAAATCAAACGAAGGTAACCAATAATATTGGGCTTTATATTAACAATGTGCTGTAGCTTCTGAGGTATTTCGTGAGAAAATATCTACACTAAGCTCCATCATTGGTTCGGGCACTAGTACTATCTTTGATAGGATCAGTGATGAGTTTCTTAGTGCAGGACTCATCAGTCAATCAATACTAGATGACATCACTACAGTACCTAGTTACTCCAATTATCAAAGAGGCAGTAGATTAATTCGTGAGCTGTACAAGAGATTGCTAAAAATAGATACACTTAATGATGACCTCATTGTGCTGTGTGATATCCTCACCAGACAAGAAGATGAGCAACTGGTTCAGATTGGTGAAGATATGAAGAAGAATTCATCTTGTGCTGTTTGACGCTAGACTATGTAACATACAAGTAGACAAAATAGGCTCGTTATTTTTATCTTTCTTATTTCAATTGTTTAGGATACTTAATTATTATGCATTAATTTTACAATTATTAAGAAATGCAGTACCAACTACCAACACATTTTGGAGAAGTTTATTTTTACCCACGTGACTACACGTGGTATATTTCCCGCCAAAGTCTAAGACTCCCGGGAATCAATCATAAGCATGCGCAGGAACATCTTTTCATACACATGCGCGCGATATTATTAAAAGAAGGAGGAGATTCCAACCCATTTGAAAGCAAAGAGGAATAATGCCTAAAGGAAAGAAGAGAAATAAGAAACAAGAGGATAAAGAAGGTAATGTTTGCCCTAAAAATGAGTTAATTCTATTTTGAGATGTGTTTATTGAATTGGGGTGCTTTATTTTTGTGGTTTGATTTTAAGAAAGAATTGTGTGAAAATGGCACACCAACAGTCACTTAAAATTATAGAGAATATAACTATTGATTAATAATTGCCATGTATCTGGAAATTTATGCTTTAGAAATTAGAAAGTTGTGCGTGATTTAATTTTTACGTAATAAAGCTATTATGTATTATTGAATGTGATTATGTATGAGGCTAATTTTTTAATTGAGAAAAATTATAGATAAAATGGTATATAACGTTTATTATGCAGCATGAAAGTATTATACATGCTACATAGTACATGCATTATGCCAGTATTTAATTATTATAATTTTAATTAATAACTCTCCCTCCCTCTCTCTCTCCCCCCCTCTCTCTCTCTCCTGTCTTTCCTTCCTTTCAGATAAAGCACAGAAAGATGATAATGAATTTACACCAGCCACTGACCCCAACACTCTCTCAACCTCATCTTCTCTTCTCATTTTAGGAATGGGCGAATTGGGACAGTTGGGATTAGGGGAAGATGTAATAGAGAGGAAAAAAGCCACACCTGTGGGTGGAGTTTTGAAAGGAAAGAAGATACTGCAAGTTGTGTGTGGAGGGATACACACGGTTGCTCTTCTTGATGGAGGAGAGGTAAGAGTGCTTTGCTTATTGTTGAATGTTAGAAGCTCAATGAGCTAATTCTTACAACAAGTCCTGTATTGTTTAAAAACAACATGTTTATATGTTGTTACTGTAGTGGTGTTGTTACTCAACAATAATTATCCTGAGTATTACATGTTAATAATACTACGTTTACACTACAGAAGTGGGCCAAACCGTGCTGAACCAGGCTGAGCTGGCCCTGCTGTACTAACCATGCTGGCCTTGTTTGGCCCAGCTCACTTCTTCAGCTCAGTTTGTTTACTGTTTACACTATCAAATGAAACTGTGCTGGCCCACTTTAAACAGGGCTGGCTCAGTTAAAGAAGCTAGTGTAAACACAGTATTAGATGTATGGTGATTTCCTTTAGGTGTTCACATGGGGTTGTAATGACGAAGGTGCTCTTGGTAGATCAGTGAGCACTACTGATGAGTATACTCCTGGTGTTGTTAAGAAACTGAAAGGATTCAACATTACTCAAGTGTCAGCTGGTGACTGTCACACAGCTGCTCTCACTGATAATGGACACGTGTACTGTTGGGGTGTATTTAGGGTAAGATACACACAGACACAAACACAAATAATTACACACACAAAAACAAACCAAATATTGGAGCTATTCCTACATCTCATGAACTCTATACAGCATGTAATAAATCAATTGAAACTGTCACACACACTTTTTTCTCCCTCTTTTTTATATACCTCTTTCTGCCTCCCTTGCTTCCCCCTCTTTTTCTCATGATTAATATTGTTTTTCCTTGTTAGGATGCTGATGGTCCTCTTGGTTTAGTAAACAGTAAGCCTGAGTTTGAGCCAGAGCTGGTGTACTCTAGTGCCTTTAATAAAGCAATCAAAGTTACCTCAGGCTCCAATCACATTGTCATTCTCACAGAGCATGGAGATATCTATAGCTTTGGTAAGTTGAAAGGAACAATAAATATTTTGTGTTCTGATTTTAGTGAATTTATTTGACCATTTGCTTTACTATGCATACACATGTCATAGCAACATTATTAATGTACTTAAAATGCTATTAAGATATGAGGTATTGAAAAATACTGTTTACTATGACCCTTAGCTGAAGTCACGAAGAAACCATGCTATAGTGTTGGCTTTAGGATCTACTTTTTACAATCGGACAAAATTTTTGTAGTTTAGTATAGGGATTTTGTCAAAGAAGAGAGGAAATTTCACACTTTTATTGCATTTTTAATGGACATACATGTTCTTATTTTGTGTGTAAAGATTGAGCTGATTCCAATCAAATTTAGATTTTTAAAGAATTATTGAAGTTGCTCCAAAATCAGACTAAAGTCCCTGTACTATAGTATAGGGATTTTGGTAAAATTTTGCCAAAATTTAAAGGAGGGAATTTATTACATTTTCTGATACATATTGATGTCCTTATGCTGTGTAGAAAGTTTGAGGTAATTCCGACTTTAATTTTTCAAGTTATGGCCATTTTAAGAAAACGTCAAAATTCTGAAAAATACCCAAGGCTATAGCCCATGGTTTTTTCCAAAAAATGGCTCCGAAATCACCCCAAATTTTTATTACATTTTCTGATACATATTGATGTCCTTATGCTGTGTAGAAAGTTTGAGGTAATTCCGACTTCAATTTTTCAAGTTACGGCCATTTTAAGAAAACGGCAAAATTCTTAAAAATACCCAAGGCTATAGCCCATGGTTTTTTTTCCAAAAAATGGCTCCGAAATCACCCCAAATTTTTATTACATTTTCTGATACATATTGATGTCCTTATGCTGTGTAGAAAGTTTGAGGTAATTCTGACTTCAATTTTTCAAGTTACGGCCATTTTAAGAAAATGGCAAAATTCTGAACAATACCCAAGGCTATAGCCCATGGTTTTTTTCAAAAATGGCTCCGAAATCACCCCAAATTTTTATTACATTTTCTGATACATATTGATGTCCTTATGCTGTGTAGAAAGTTTGAGGTAATTCCGACTTCAATTTTTCAAGTTACGGCCATTTTAAGAAAACGTCAAAATTCTGAAAAATACCCAAGGCTATAGCCCATGGTTTTTTTCAAAAATGGCTCCGAAATCACTCCAAATTTTTATTACATTTTCTGATACATATTATGCTGTGTATAAAGTCTGAGCTGATTCCGACTCAATTTTTCAAGACCTACATGTACTTGTACATGTAGGTCAGTTACTGTATTTTTCTCTTTTGAATGAGCTTAATACTTATTATGTAGATGTATCAAATCTTACTTGATCCTTTTTAATTAAAATACCACGTACTTTAGGACGTCTTGCTTCTTTTACCTTGAACTTGTAATGTTGTGACAATGTAGCCACCTTCCCCTTCCAAATTATGTGCTATCAATTTGCTCCTTCGATCAAAATTAGCCTCACATGTAATACTAATATTAAGAGTAAATCATACCCAAAGAGAGTATCCAACGGTCCTATTGAAGGCTGCTTCAAGCGTGTGGATTATTAAGAAGTCATGTTCTGCATACTTCAGTAGTTTTCAATCAATGTTTATACATTGATTTACTCCTGCTAATATCATGTGTTATTTTACGTATTACTATTACCAGATTAAAGTTATTATTTATTATTATTAATAGGGTGTGGTGACAGTGGCCAGTTAGGGCGTGTCCCAGAGTGCTTCAGTACAAGAGGTGGGCGGAGAGGAATCGGGTACCTCCTAGCCCCACAGATAGTTCGGTTCCCGAAAAAAGGAAGACGATTGACAGGAAAGGCTGGAGCTACCAAGAGCTTTAAAATATCTGATGTATACGCCGGAGAACATTGTTCCTTTGCCATTGGAAGTGAAGATAGACAGATATACGTATGGGGGCTCAACCACAGAGGCCAACTGGGCTTGGGGGATCAAGAATCTCGCTTTGTGCCGGAAAAAGTACCCGAAGATTGGCTGTGGGACTGGGCCAAGAGCTCCAAACAAGATAAGCAGTTGTTGATCGCCGGGGGCGGATCTCACTCACTCGTCTGCAACGACGGCCATCTTTATTCCATGGGTGCCAACGAGTATGGACAGCTAGGTTTGAAACAAATTGAAATGACGTCAAAACCAACTAAACTGAGCGGAATATCGGACGTGACTGACATAGCCTGCGGTGGGAGGTGTTCGTTTGCTGTAACTAAAGATGGGAAGGTATTCTCATGGGGTATTGGATCGAACTATCAGTTGGGATGTGGTCTCGATGAAGATGATGTCTTTGAGCCGACTCCAATGGTCGGGAAACACGTAGAGAATGTCCTAAAAGTATCGAGCGGAGGCCAGCACACTAGCTTATTAGTAGACTGTAGTAAATGAAACTTAGCCTTTCCTCATTTTATTTCTATAGTGAAGTTGAAGTGATTTTAATTAATAATTAATTCAATAAAAATGCAATTGTTCTATAGTCCTGATTAGTAGTTATTAATACTTATCATGTAAGCCGCAAAGATAGAGATAGGAATGGCAGCGAATAAGAAAGTTTCGTCGGCTGTTCTTTACGGGAAAAAGGATTTAAGACTGGTATACTGCTAGAATATTTTGTAGATTAGTTCCTATTTTTAATCAGGAGGACGGAGAGTTTTCTGCCGAGCCCGGTAAAGGAGGTAAGATTTCTGGTATGATAGATGTTAAAATAGGACCTGCCCTGTCCACAGCGTCTAAATAAATGAAGTTTGAAGCTATCAAAATGTATTATATGTCCTTATAACATTAATGGAGACTTTTCCTCTTGTCCAACCAAGAGTACTTTTTAATTGGCCCAATTAATCTTATATTTATTGTTAATTGTAATAAAATTATCCTTTTAAAAATAATTTTAATGCTGAAATCTGATATTACATTATTATTATTATTATAAACTTTAAAATTTTTATGTCTCTTCTCCCTTTTCTTATCCCTTTATTATTATTATTATTATTATTTCTATAGAGGTATTAATAGGAGTCCAGTCAGTTGGTATATGTGGTAGTGATATTCATTTCTGGGTTGATGGTCATATTGGTGATTGTACTGTAGTAGCTCCTACAATATTGGGACATGAGGCCAGTGGTGTCGTTATTGCAATAGGAGAAGGTGTCACCAACCTTCAACCTGGTTTGTTTGTGTGTGTTTTTTATTCTGTTTGTTCACATACTTTTAATTAGCATAAGGCAGGACATTTCTGGTTGTTAAATAAATATCTTCATTATTTTTTCCCAAGTTAATTTTAGTCAATAGAAAATTAAAATTTGTAATTGTAGTTTAGCAACCCAAAAATAACACTTGACAAAAACGCATTTCCAGAAAAACATCATTATCCCCTATCAGAAATGCTCTGCCCTGTGTTATGTGAATCTAATAAAAACAGCTTAAAACGTAAAAGAAACTGCTGTATATATTTTTGAATGTAGCATTATTATTATTATTATTATTATTATTATTATTATTATTATTATTATTATTATTATTATTATTCCTTAGGGGATCGTGTTGCTATAGAGCCAGGTATACCTTGTCACCATTGCCAGTACTGTAAAAGTGGACACTATAATCATTGTCCTTATGTCAAATTTGGATCGACTTCACCTAACAATGGCTACCTCACTAATTACACCATTCATCCAGCAGAGTATTGCTTCAAGTAAAGTATTAAAAGTATTTATCACTTCTAATTATTATTGTATATTAGGCTACCAGACCATGTCTCATTTGATGAAGGTGCACTGTTAGAGCCTGTTAGTGTTGCAGTTCATGCTTGTCGTAGGGTCAGTGTTGGATTAGGTAGTAAAGTACTCATAACAGGAGCAGGTTTGTACATCAATGGAGTAGACTGGATTGATTAGTGTGTGTGTATTGTGTAGGTCCAATTGGATTGGTATGTTTGATGGTTGCTAAAGCTTGTGGGGCCTCTGTACTAATAGCTACAGGTATAGAGAGAGTGTGTGTGTTTTTAATTTTGTTTGTATTGTCTGTTTCAAGAGTTCATTTTATATTAAGGCTGATATACAATAACAGCTAGGCCAGTGTACTGTCAAATTTTAATGAAAATTGACTGCTTTTAGCTAGAACTAGATTAGAACCAAATTCGATTCTTTTGTTGACATAACATCAGGATTAGTGTAACTTTATAAACTAGCCTTCAGCCTTAAAAATCCAAATATGAGGAACTTTTGATATAAGTTTTTCTCTAATTAGCGAGATCGTAACAAAAATAAAAAATGCTTTTGGAGCTTTTTGGTTGTTGTTCTAGAAATTAACTTTATACCTTAACTTTAAATGCATTAACTGAACGTGCACTAACTTAAATGTGCATTTTGAAATCTAACTTTGTGCATACAATTGAATTATAATCAACCCTAACCATTTTTAGATCTGGACAGTAAGAGGCTAGAAGTTGCTAAATCTTGTGGAGCTACCCACACTTGTCTCATTGATAAGACCAGTACTAGTAGACAAGTAGCTGAAGAAGTGAAGAGGACAATTGGTGCATCTCCTGATATCACTATTGAATGCTCTGGAGCTGCTTCTGCAATATCTGCTGGGATATATGTAAATTCACTTTTAGTGGCACCCTTGGTTTTACTCTCTCCTCTCTCTCTCTCTCTCTCTTCTTTTAGGCTACTAAATCAGGAGGGTCTGTGCTAATGGTTGGATTAGGTGCTCCTCTTGCTACTCTCCCAATAGTTGATGCCAGTGTTCGTGAAGTTGACCTTATTGGTGTATTTAGATATGTGAACTGGTAAAATAAACATTAATAAGTTAATAATAGACTCAATTATATTTTTAGTTTCCCAGCAGCTCTGGATCTGATAGCATCAGGTAAAATCAACACTAAGGCTCTTCTTTCTCACAAATATGCTCTGGGTGAGGTACTCTCTGCATTCGAGATGGCTAAGAGTGGAAAAGCAGTCAAAGTTATTGTAGACTGTTCTTTTTAAGAATGAGTTATAGTCTATTATATATACTGGTAATCATTTTCATCATGTAAATTTATTTTTGGGTGCAAAAAAGAATTATTAATTTTTTTACTGTTTGTATAATGAATTTAATTTTTTGTATGCCACGCCTGCCCTATTATGAGTGTCCTGGGGAGTAAGAAAGTTTCCAAGGCTGTTCTTCACGGAAAGAAAGACTTAAGACTGGTAATGCCACAAGTGTACATTGTATGTATATTATATATTTTATTTATCACAGGAGGATGGAGAGTTCTCTGCAGAGCCAGGGAAAGGAGGTAGGCTATATGTATGAGCAAACACGCCTTCAAGCTTGCACGAGGCTTAGCAGGTAGCAGCTATACTGTCTTTTGTGCTCTCATTTTGATAAGTGTATAGTTCAGTTAGCAGCATACTAAGCTAAAATGATTGTTTGAGGTGCAGAAGATAATGTATAGTAGAAAATATTGGAATCAGACCTGGGTCAATTACATGTACATTAGAATTACTATTATGCCGTATTAAAGTAATTTCAATTAAAAATTATGTTTTTTGTTTAAAAAAATATCAGCTCAAACTACATGTACATACCAGAAAAAATTATAAATGTAGAATTTTCTCCTAGCCATTTTGACGAAGATTTTTAGCAACTTTAAAAATTCATAAAAAATCCATTTTTGATCAGAATCATCTCAAACTAGGTCCGCAACATCATAACATGTATACACATCAGAAAAAATTATGAAAATAAAGAATATTTTCTGAGCCATTTTGACAAAATTTGGCGCGAGACTGTGCACAATTTTGTAGAAGTGCAATCTCACATGGCTGCAAAAATTGCCCATGTAAAAACCACAAATCAAACACTTTAACAAAACTATACTATTGTCTATTGTCTAGCTCTTGTTTTTATTATCTACAATTTTGATTGTATTATCTACTTAAATCAATGTTAATAAGGGTCTTATATCTTTTTTATTTTTGCTATAGAGGTACTAATAGGAGTTCAATCAGTCGGTATATGTGGCAGTGACCTTCATTTCTGGACTGATGGTCAAATTGGCGATTTTATCATATCATCTCCCATGGTCTTGGGACATGAGGCCAGTGGTGTGGTCATTGCTATTGGAGAAGGAGTCACAGACCTTCAACCTGGTCTGTATTTGCTTTGTTGCTTGAGTCACACATGGGTCAATTACATGTAATACTGTTACTGTTATTTGGTGTTACAAAGTTGCTATTACAATGTAGATTAATTAATTGGACTGTATTGTACTATTACTTGATAATTGTGATTGGATTAAAGTGTAGTTACTATTACCTGAAATTTAAAAGTTATAATATCAAATTTGCATTACATTTTTATTAGTTTATTGAAACTTTTTACATTTGTGATTCTTGGGCCAGATTGTCTCTATACTTACTTCGATCACTGCTATATTACAGATTAATCATTACTTTAAATGCATTGTTCTATCCATTATGCTTCTTCATATTGATGTCCTTTCTGGAAACTGATATTTTATTTTATTATCAATTCTTAGGTGATCGTGTTGCCATGGAGCCAGGTGTACCTTGTCACCACTGTCAGTACTGTAAAAGTGGCCGTTACAATCATTGCCCTGACGTCAAGTTTGCTTCAGCTCCACCTTACAATGGCTACCTCACTAATTATGTGACTCATCCAGCAACGTTTTGCTTTAAGTAAATTGTACCAATTATTATTGTAATAAATAGTTCTATTCCATATAGCTGGTATTTCTGAAGGGGGCAAATTTTGAATCATTATCTCAATGGCATAATAGTCACAAATTTGCCAAAATTTATTCAAACCTGCCTATTATAAGAAATTCAGCAATTTGCAAAAAAAATTCCCCCTTTGAATTGGCTTTTTTAGAATTTTTTATTGCCCTAACTGTTGTGTTTTTAAATTGATTCTGTTTTCACTATATGGTATATTAGGCTACCAGACCATGTCTCATTTGATGAAGGTGCACTGTTAGAGCCTGTTAGTGTTGCGGTTCATGCTTGTCGTAGGGTCAGTGTTGGATTAGGTAGTAAAGTACTCATAACAGGAGCAGGTTTGTACATCAATGGAGTAGACTGGATTGATTAGTGTGTGTATTTGTAGGTCCAATTGGATTGGTATGTTTGATGGTTGCTAAAGCTTGTGGGGCCTCTGTACTAATAGCTACAGGTATAGAGAGAGAGAGAGAGGGGAGGAAGAGAGTGAGAGAGAGCCTTGATTCTTTACGTTACACTAATCTAGTGGGTTTGATAATCCTTTGATGTGAATCCTCACTTGCTTCCTTAACATCTTACGTAATACTGAAAACCATTGCGACATTTATTGCTTAATAGCATTAACTTCCAAGCCTTTATGTGTAAACAAAGAGTATCTGTGTAATTACTAATGTCCTTTCATTTTATTTCTCATTTTTATTCATTTTGGTTCCATTGTTATGCATTGTGTAGATTTGGAAAGCACGAGGTTGGAAGCTGCTAAATCTTGTGGAGCTACCCACACTTGTCTCATTGATAAGACCAGTACTAGTAGACAAGTAGCTGAAGATGTGAAGAGGAAAATTGGTGCATCTCCTGATATCACTATTGAATGCTCTGGAGCTGCTTCTGCAATATCTGCCGGGATATATGTAAATTCACTTTTATTGACATCCTTGATTTTCCTCTCCTTTCTCTCTCTTCCTTTAGGCTACTAAATCAGGAGGGTCTGTGCTAATGGTTGGATTAGGTGCTCCTCTTGCTACTCTCCCAATAGTTGATGCCAGTGTTCGTGAAGTTGACCTTATTGGTGTATTTAGATATGTGAACTGGTAACATAAACATTAATAAATTAATAATAGACACATTATATTTTTAGTTTCCCAGCAGCTCTGGATCTGATAGCATCAGGTAAAATCAACACTAAGGCTCTTCTTTCTCACAAATATGCTCTGGGTGAGGTACTTTCTGCATTCGAGATGGCTAAGAGTGGAAAAGCAGTCAAAGTTATTGTAGACTGTTCTTCTAAAGAATGAATTTTATATATTTTTACTGTGTCTCTAAAACTGCATTGTTCACAAATTAATTTTTTTAAAGTCTAGTATAATTATCAGGAAATGAGGAAGTGTAGTAGACAATACTAGACATAGTATCTTATCTATTCTATAGAAGAGGCATCTTATCTATTCTATAGAAGAGGTTCAGTGGTCTGTGATCATTATTATTATTAATAATTAATTTTGGCGACGTAGTAGGCGGTCCCTGATTAATAGTTGCGTATATAATGTGCACCATGTTATCACTCCAGGCTATTCTCCTGCATCCCTCAATGTGCAATGGCTTGGATTCACTTCTTTCCCATGAGTTTCGTATGCTGTATATTTTTTATGCTTGTCCCGTTATTAGCTACAGCTCAAGATGGTGTATGCAGGACTCTAGTTAGTGAAGACAAAAGTAATTTTTATACTTATATAATAATAATTGATTTTTATATTAATTGATGTGTTTTGTGCTAGAATATGAGCCTACACATTTAAATAGTCCAGCAGTCAGTAGTATCTATGTCATGATTCAAATAAGCACAACTCTTAACAGCAAAATGGCAGCATGTGTTAAATTGCTGTATTTGTATAGCTATAAAATTTGTTGGAGCAAATTGAGGTCTATTATCTAATAATGCTCTGTAGCAGCATGCACAATATTAAAATATTACCAAAACTTTAACCTCTAAACCTCTTTGAGTCAACTCGCCAAATTGTAGTACTCCAAATTTTTTACTGCTATACGGTATTTTCCCTGCACCATTGCTCATGAATATATTTAATCAATGTTAAATGATGTGTCATAGTTGCATACCTGACATTTTAATAGATATTATTTATTGTTGCTATAGGTGATGGCTCACTTATTGGACCTTATCACAACTTTAGTGTATCTTGCATTAATGATAGCTTTGCTTTACTGAATGTGAGGGAAACTGACAAAAGAGACTACAAATCTGTTACTGTTGAGATGAAGTGCACAAATGAGATATTGAATACATCAGTAAGCTATTAAAAATTTTGTGAAGATTATCATTTTATTTCATCATTTGTAGTACTCAAGAATACTTTTGTATCAATATAGCCCCAGGTCTGAAAGGAATATATCAGTGCATTACAATACTAATCTTGAGCCCGGGACTAGTTGTGTCTTCTCTGGTTGTGTAAGGACTGGTCCTGCAGAAAATAACGTTTATAAATATAACATTCAAGAGGCAACATGCAATCAATCAATAGGTATTAACTCCTCTCATTCCTTCCTTAGCACCTCAATTCCTTTTTCACTCTCAGACAATTGGAGATCATCTAGTAGCATGACAATTGACAGCACTAGTATGATATCACCATCACCATCACCATTACCATCATCAACATCAACAGATTCAACACCATCATCGTCACTTTCATTGATATATGGCATCAGTGAGAGCAATTTCATGATTAATATTCCCACAAAAACTGTTTCTAACAATGGAGGCTCACTGACCGCAGGCATTGGTATCAGCAACATTTTATTACCTACTTGTTCATTAGGTATGATAATGCATGAAAAGGAAGATATTACCATATTCTAATTGCCTTAGAAAGTTTAACTTAGAATAGTACAACTTTACTACAGCTCTTTTGAAATGAAAAATACCAACCATACCTATGCACTTTGCTTAGCAACAGTATCTTACTAGGAATATTAGAGTGGCTTCCTTAACTTATACAGGCTTCTTTCCTTGTACATATACTTTGATGCTCCTTTGTATTATGCAATTATGCAAATAAAAGTATACCACTATTTTCCTTTTAATTTCACATGCAGATTCTTCTATGCTTGCAAGGTCTATGTTAGTAGTCTGTGTGATTCTTGCTGTAGCTATCATTGTTTTTGGAGCCATCATTATCATTTTTGCCTTTGCTCTTTGTCATATCCGCTCAAGACAAGTATTTCAAAGTAATTTTAGCTTTATAGTACAGTAATTTAAATTGGTTATTATGAGTGATGGCATTTTTTCTGATAGAAATGACACACATGTTATTTAGAATTTTCTTTGTATAAAATTTTTGAATTTTAAACTTGCCATTCTATATCAAAATTATTATAGGAAGTATAAGTATTTTAACTTTAATTACATTTTTAGGTGAAAAAAATGTTCACATGGAGTCTGCCAAATCTTTCAATGGATGTTAAAGAATTAAATATGATCAATGGATTACTTGTAACTATAAGTACTGTATACTTCATTTTACTTTTTGAATTGGTAATAAATTCTTCCTTTGCCAAAGTCTGTATCCAAGTGTATTATTGTTGCTTAAATTAATATTAAAAAAAGTTCTTTTAGACTACACTTTTCATAGTCTATGGTCTTTTGACCACAATAGACACAACTTAAAATTTTATTTCTAAAAGTTTTGATTGTGCAAGGTGCATGCATATTTTAAATTAGAGAATACAAATAATGAAAATTAAAGTTTTGAAAACAATGGTTTTTGTCAAATTTTTAAAACAAATTTTAATTTTGCCTGATAATAATGAACTCGACCTTTAAAAAACAAATAGATCTAGCTACATGCATTAAAATATTTAATAACAAAAGAATCTTTTCAATTTGATTAGAATCAACTCCAACTTCATTTACACAATATATACATGTAGAAGAAGCATTAATAAGACAAAAAATTCCTCATGCAACCTTAAAAATTTTCTAAAAATTTAATGCTTTCATAGCAGCATAGTCTATTCTACACAACGTAAAAACATTTAAATTATCCATCAAAAATATTATGAAAATGAAGAATTCTCTCCCATCCTTAAAAGCCCACGTGCAAACACGTGGTTGGCTGGTTGTAGCTACCTAGTTTATAAAGGGTTAAAAAAACTTTGATGACTCTCGTGACCTGCCCTGATTCTCTTGAAGTCATTTTCACAATCAAATGGTATGATTGGCATTAATTTGATTAAGTAGCATGTGAATAGTGTGGGATGGAAACTGTAATAATTAATAAATATTTTGTTCAAGTACAAATTATCAGCATGTTCTGTATGCATGATGCATGTTTCATAATTCTTATGAATATCTAAGTGGAATTGATGTTGCAATGCATGCATTCTTCTTTTTAATTCCAAATTCTACCATGAAGTAGATAAATAATTGGAATACTTACACTGTATATAATATAGCTCATAATAGCTGACACTTTGGAGGCCAATATAATTTTCACTGTTTTTGCAGCTTTTCAGATTTGTGAAATTAAAGTACACGAAAATGGTACAAGATGGCAGAATTCTTTTTAAAAAGATTAGCAAAAATTTAATCTACGAAAATGATTTTTGTGAGATTTGTGAAAGTTTAATGCTATACATATTATGTATGACCCATAGTGATACATGATATATTGGATGTTAGGTAATTACTTGTTTTCATGAAGTTTTTTGAATTTCCTTATTTATGAGGTTGTTTAGTAATACTTAAAAGCTTATATTTTCAGTTTTTTAATTTTTTTTTGTAGAATTAATAAAAAGTAGCCTTTTTACTCAATGCCTCACCTGTGAACCACAACAATTCATAGTTTGTAACGCAATCACAAGGAACAAACTGGTGATTGGAAGCAGTTGTTATTCATCACAAAATTATTTTGTGCTTTGTTTATGTCATGTAAACCTTACTTTTAACTTAAAAACTTGTAATATTAGTTTTGGCTGAATTTTATTTTGACCAGTACAGCTTGTAGAGGTCAAATCATTACAACTGGGTTTTGCCTGTATATCAGAGATGTTTCTGTTGCAAAAACATGCCGGTATCAAAATAGTATTTTAATTGTCAACATGACATAATTATAATTCTAATTGAGTCTATTTTTCAAAAAGAGGGTAACTGAGTGTGTAGTTGTACTTGAGCTTTTGTAACTGACCCCAGGTCTGATGCATACAATACTAGACTAGCATGGTTACTTGGTCTAAGATGAACTGGTTGTTCATTCTTTAAGGTTGTTGCTCCCAGCCACCCTTGACCATCATAGGCAGAACCATGTACCAAATTTCCAACCCATAGTTTTGTCCATGGTGGTCGGGGGGTGGTCGGGACAGCCACCTCAACAAATGAACCAACCAGTTCATCACTGAGACCAACCAGCCAATTAATACTAATAACCATACATAAAGCATCATATTGTAGTTTACTAGTATGGTGTACATAAATTTAAAAGGAACAATATTAGTCTCCAACCATCTCTAATTTATTTCTAGGTAGAACCTTACAACCCTATACCATTACTGTTTTTTTTGTGAGCTGATTTTGTACTACATGTGATTGAGCACCACAAGGATTTGACTGATTGGGTTTATGAACAAAAAAGTAGTGTCATGGTTACACTGGCTATTATGTTTACAGAATGCTAGGCTGTTTTTTAATTATCAGAATTAAGAAGGAAGGCAATTGTTGAAGCCATTTAATTATTTGGCAACACATTTGGCTCAGCTTGTGTACCTAAATTAAATATTATTGTTTGCACTTTCCATTCTCTCAGGCACATGTACGTGTACATGTATGCAGTTGGAAACACTCATTTTCAACTCTAATACACTTACATTGTACATGTACACAACCAATTATTGTTATTGCTTAGATCAGGACTGATATCAGTCTGAATCATGGTTTTTGTGTAAGCACTCCCTTCCTTCCTCTAACATTATTCCCCTCTGTCTCCCCAGTATTATGCTAGTAATGACAGGCTCTATTGGTATGTACAGTGTAATTGCTATGTAGTACAGGGAGTCAGTTCAGTTTGGTATGTTTGTGAATCCTGATTGGTATTCATTGGTTGCTGGGTGACGTTGCCTACTAATGATAGGAGTGGCTCTGATTATGCATGTAAGTCTATTATATGCATGTGAGTCATTCCCTCCCAGTTACTGTCAGTAATTTAGGGAAGGAAAATCCTATTAGTGAATTTGGTGATTTGGTAAACATTCTCCGGAATACAAGTGCCTCTTTGATGATACTTGCCCGATCACCGAAATTGGGATTTCACCAAAATTTCTCCCTCTCAAAGATATCCCACTATGTGTACACTCAGTGATATAAGTCTATTACTTGGTTTCTTGTTTGTAGCTAGGCTTCACCACATAAGCTACTCACTCCCATTTCAAACCATAGATGAGACACACAGTAGTATTACTGGCTCTGTTGGTTATGACTCTGTTAACCATGGGTCTTTGTTTGAAACCTTCCTCGTGCCATTTACTACACTCATAAATTAATAAGTTGTGTAATTATTATGGTTTCTTAATGGCATTATGTATTATCTAATATCTTTAGTATTTACGTGTTCTGTCTTCATAATGAGTGTGGTTAGTGATGTTTATGCCGTTACAAATTAGCAAGCATTGTCGCCAGTAGTTTATTTCATTTCGCTCATACCAACTTGATCATTTTATAATTGTGGTCACTCAGCCGTTTATACACTCCTTAAGTAAAAATTTTTTTAGCTCTAATTACAGATTGTTTGTGTCTCTCATGGTGTTTTCATAACAGTACAAACTTCCCTTGCTTTTATCTAAAGCATTTGATAACTTACCTTTGTATTGTTTTTACATGATAGCATCTTCTCCTCCCTCTTTTCTCACTCTCTTTCCCTCTCTCTCTCTCTCTCCTTCCCTCTTTCTTTCCCTCTCTTTCTTCTTTCTCTCCTTCCCTTTCTCTCTCTCCTTCTCTCCCTAATTCCTCCCTCTCTCTCTTTCTCAATATTTTAGGTCTGAGCTCTTGTCTGCACTACAAGTAAAACATACCAAAACTTTCACACCTACTATTATATTGACATTGTAATGTTAAAAATATATCTAAGATGAAATGGCATGTATAACTTTACAAGTAAACCACTATCAACTTATAATTATTACTTGTATGCCTAAACTTGGCACTTGTGCTGTCTTACGTTGCTTTGTGTGTCTAGAATTGTGCCTTTATTATTATTATTATTATTATTATTTTTGTCTTTTACAATTACTATAGGCTTTGTTTACAGTGATGTGCTTTGTTTACTGTAAAGTTGTCTAGTATCCAAGCAATCCTGGACAGAAGCAGAACAAGCCAAATCAGTGCAGCCAATATAATTTATAAGAATTTAGTAGGTTAAATATCCATCTTCATGACAGAAAAGAAGAATAGAGATAGATTTATTTTATGAGCAAAAAAATAATCGTTCATTGATAATTCAGTATAGTTTTAGATTCATTCACCATTGCAATATTGATAGTAATAATTTTTCTTCGGATTATCAACTATCAGTGTGATGCTTGAGCTTTCAGAGCCTATTATTTTTAGGCTTTGTAGCCGGATACTAATTATAGAGCTGATTGTGGTTACAAAATTATTTTTGTGACGCAGCTCTGACGTTTATGCCGGATATGCCACCACGTACACATAGCAAGCATAGCACATTAGTTCTAAGCATAGTGCTATTTAATTGGCACTTACCCACTGCAGATCGTCACAATCTCAAACACGTTGGATATGGCTATTCGATCCTCGCTTGCTTCCCTGGCCTTTCCTCTGCTATTCACAGCTCTGTTGCACCTCAGCACAGTAGCCAGAGCTCAGGAATACCCTGATGGTGTCTGCAGGCCGCATCTTGTAAAAGGAGATAAAAGTGAGATTTATAGTCGTGCATCCATTTGCGAGCGTTTAGTATTGTTTTGCATTCACTTAAGCATGGAAAGCATGCAAACGCAGGCTTTGTACAAGCAATGAGTGGCTTAATTGTGTCCGGCTGTCTCGTTTAGTCTCACTGGGCTAATTGTCTTGAGGCAGCTCAAATCTCCATAGCAACTCACTGCCTAGAATAACTGTTGCAGCCTTACACATACAAAAATTGATTGATGATCTATGTGCTGTTTATTTTGTTTTGATGCAGGTGACAGTTCTCTTGTGGGACCATATCACAACTTTAGTGTATCTTGCATTAATGACAGCTTTGCTTTACTGAATGTGAGGGAAACTGGCAAGAGAGACTACATGTTTGTTACTGTTGAGATGAAGTGCACAAATGAGATATTGAATACATCAGTAAGCTATTAACAAATTTTATGACGGCTATCATTTTATTTTATCATTTGCAGTACTCTAGAATACTTTTGAATCAATATAATCCCAGTTCTGAAAGGAATATACCAGTGTATTACAATACTAATCTTGAGCCCGGGACTGTTTGTGTCTTCTCTGGTTGTGTAAGGACTGGTCCTGCAGAAAATAACGTTTATAAATATAACATTCAAGAGGCAACATGTCATAGAGGTGCACATTATTGTCTTTTCTAATATTTTATACTTATTTTTGTTTTGATGACAGAAATGGATCTATTCTCCAGTAGTGCTACTAGCGACAGTAGCACCAGTATAATGCTGCCATCGTCAAGTCTTGATATTAATCCTAGCAGCTCTGGCATTAGCAGAAGCAGTACCATTAACATTATCAGTATCTCTGTATCATCAAGTTCTGACATTAATCCTGGAAGTACAGACATTAGTAGAAGCAGTACCATTAACATTATCAGTTCAATTACTGCTACTGGCGGTATTTCACCAACAGGTAAGAGAGAGGCTGGAATATATTGTCCTTTCCCTGTATAGACTGTATAGTGTACCGTCAAAATTATGTTTTAATCAAAAGTGTGGGCAATTTGACCTTTTGATGCACGCTAGAATAAAGCCAAATTTTATTCCTGTGTCAATGTAACATCACGACTAGCATATTATTGTACATTAGCCTTAGAGCATGTAAACCAGCCTTTGGAGTATGAACTACTCAACTACATCATGTTTTGTGGGGCCTGTGCCTAATTGGTTTTTTCCTCCTGCTATTATGACTTTGTTCTATGTTTACGTTTCTGGACATTGACATAGTTAAGATATTTTTTTATAAAGTCTAGACAGGTGTTTAAATTTGACCCCACTGCCAATAAAGAACTCTCTTATGTGGATTTCCTATTATGTATGTGTGTATTATATTTGTACCTGCCCAGTGGCCATAGGGGATGTGTGCTCTTCTTTGAGCCAGCAGCCACAAAATCCTTTTTTAGGTGTTATAAAACAAACATAATAAATTGAGTTATTATTTGTTTTATCTTATCTCTCTCTCTCTCCCTTTCTTTCTACCTTTGAACTTCAATCCCTCTTAGTCACTCCTCTTGATTCTGGCTCACCTATTTCAGCTTTTTTCTTTGTCATTCTCAGTGCTGGCTTTTTGATAGTCTTTGGTATTGGTGTCGCCTTTGTACTTTGTTGCTTGTTCTTAGCACACAAGAGATTCTCAAGGTAAATGATAGCTATTTTTATAGCTTTTTGTGTTAGAGGGAAAAGTAAACCATAGATTCACTTATCAGGAATTGCTATGCAAACAGTTTATAAAACAGAGCTGAATAGAGTTTATTGCTGATTACCTTCCTATCAGACCCTGGGGTCAATTACAAAACTTTAGTTACCATTACACATCCCTTCTTATGTAAAAATAAACTTAATGACTGTGTGAAGTAATTTCAATTCCAATACTATGTTTTTGTATGAAACAGAGCATGGCTTGCTTCAAAGCTGCAATTCAGCTATCATAGAAGCAATAGCATATTGTCACCAGGGCTTCCCACAAAGCCTGCTAAATGAGCTATAACAAATTAGATGTATAACATACCTCATAAACTGGCAAGAAGCTGAGCCAAAAAAACTCTGATTGTCTCACTTCCATATATGTGTGTACAATGCATGTATGTATGCATATGATCATGTAATGTGAAGTGGCTACTTAGGTAGATCGAGAGCATTTTCCCTGCGTCCATATTGATTTGGTAGTCAGTACACCATGACAACTCAGTGTTCTCAATTATAATTACAATTATGTAATTGTAATTGAGCCTCTATTTATAACTATGATCATAATTGACCCCAGCCTCCCCAGGTCTGCTTCCTATTGATAGTCATGGTCCATATATGATTCCACACTTTAATTGTCAAATTAATCAAAAAGAAAAGTAGAATATAGATGGTATATTTTTAATTTTGCTAATTTGTGATTTTAAAATATTGACAAAAATTTCAAAATTTAAAAATTTTTCTATTATACTGATAATAAACAATAGATAAAATTTTCCTTGTGAATAGATTGAAAGATGATTTTTGTGAAGTGTTTTCCCTGGGAATTATGCCTCCTATGCAAACAATCTCGCATAGCCAAACCCCACCCTTCGTGCCTCCATCCTGGGGGCTCAGAGGGTGGGATCTGTCTATGTGAGACCACTGTACAAAGTTCTTATGTCAGGGATAATATACCATACTTATTGTATTTACTGTATTCCTATCTTTCTCTCAGGAAAAATATGAATGATATTAACTTCATGGACTTTGAAATGGTGAGTTTTGACATAATATGTCAATCAATTTACTTTTATTACACTTATAACTATAGGGGATACATGATATTCATCATTTCATGCTTGATGATATAAGCATTGCTGAATCAGTTGCCACCATTGTCCAGCCACTGCATCCTCCCTTGACAGCTCCTAAACACTGCAGTTTGATGATATCCAGTACTGACATTGATAGTAATAGGAAGGGCTCTGTTTCAGTTGATGAAGCTGCTATAAAGGAGATTCAGCTGGTTAAACCTGTCCCAACTTCATCAATAAACACGATGGATTCTAAACCTTCTGTCAATCAGTTTCAGCCTCCTTTATCCCTTCATATGTCTAAAGGTGTTGTAAAAAGCATACGGACAGAAGGCTTTCCTTCAGAAGCTAAAACACCACCAACAGCTTATGATAATAATAATCGTCACTGTAATAACAATCGGCACTGTGTAGCACCTACTACCAGTCCACCTAGTACTACCAGCCTGTCGTCAGATAATCAATTGGCGGCTAATAGAGAACAACATTATCCTCATACTCTACCTTCAACAAGTACAGTACCTAATAATGAAGCTCTTGATTCATCTACTCGGGAGATTTTAAGAAGTAGCACTAAAAATAATGAGCGTATGTATTCTCCTTGTGATCAATCTTCACAATCTTCAGGCACTTCTTCATCAAATCAATCTTTAACTAAAGGTAGAGTAAATACAGATGTTCATTATGCGTATAGACACCGTCAACCTTCAAACGAACAGGATAATACTAAATCTGGTAGCCCATGCTCTTACTCTACAGTTTCAAGTACTAATAATAATAATAATAATAGAGGAAGCAGCTCTCAATCACCAGCTAGCTCCAGTAATAAATCTCACACTGACCCTTCAGTTGGGAGGCATAAAGATAATAGCTATACATATTCCTCAACACTCGCTCAACCTTCTTTGATTAAAGGTACTATGAGTAGCAGGAGCAGTGGTGTATTAACGAAGGGTCATACTCGTTTAGCCAGTTCTGGAAGTGAGTCTTTATATAAAGACAGTTCCTGCAAGGGGCACACAAGAACTAGAAATAGATTATGACTCGGATTATGTTTCCGAAAGTGACGATTCGTCATACTCATCCACACAAATGGAAGCCATGTGCAACGTATAAATGTATTACAGTATGCTTATCAACTATGACAAAAGTTTTTGTGATTCCCAGTTTTTGTGATTGTGGTTTTTATTCATTTTGTACATACCTTTGTGAATTTATTTTAATATAAATATTGTGTCTGAAGTATGGTTCCTGCCCACGCGTTTAATTAACAACACTGCAAACATCCGTCCTGATATTGTTTCCTAAACTGAGCTAATTGTGTTTGGATTACATGCCTATAGATATGATCCATATATCGCCAGCCAGTTGTCAAGGATGCTTCTGCCCCTTATACTGGCTCTGCTGTTGAGCAGTTTTGCCTTGGAGCCAGTAAAAGGCCAAGACAGGAGCTTACACATTGATGTTCAGTGCAGCACTTCAGGAGTCTATGTTTCTTGGAGGACAAATGATTCTAAGCTACAACACGTGTATGTAGGATTGAAATGTGATAATAGTTCCAATGATCAATACAAAGACTTAGCTGAGACATTGGAAAGTGGGTTAGAGTTCACTTATATTTATCCTTTGAAGAGAGGTGAAGCCTGCAACATAACTGTATATCTTTTGTATGAACATGAAATAAATGAGATTACAAGAAATTTTCATTGCTCAGGTATGGTGCACTGGTTCAATAAAAAAATATGTCTAAAAATAGTAGCTTTTAAATTAAGTCTTTTATACTAAGTATTTTTTAAATTTTAGTAATGAAGTAACTTTTTAATTTTTAGACATTGAAGAACCTAGATCTATCGTGTCATCGTCATTTATATCAACGTATGTTGAGTAATTAAAAGTAATTTAATATTATATCTGGCAGTTGGTGGAATTGTTTGCAACTTAAGTGTTTGACTGCCAATTCCTTACGTCATTACTCCTTTAATGTAACGAGTATTATGCCCTTTGATAGCAAATGTTTCCAATGGAATTAAATTGTTACTTTAATGTATTCTTTGTGTACTGAGACATTAATTTGCAATGTATAATAACAAGGAATTGCATGATCAAAAAATTTAGAAGATCAATTTGTATTGAATTAGATCTATGTGCATGATCGATTCTAACTTGTACACATCTTTCTTTTCTAGGTCTTCTACTGCTGGCAGTGTAACTTATGCTACTCTTTCTTCAATGGAACTAACTATTAGTAGTATTGGTTCATTATCGATGGTCTCTGAATCATTGCCATTTTCTGATTTATCCCACTTTATAACTAGTACTTTTGTACCTTCAACAACAGTACTAAATACAACAACTGGAAGAGGATCTGGGAGTAACATTGCACTAATAGTCTCCGTCTCTGGGATTTCAGTAGTCATGGCCATACTGTTGATTGTCATATTTATCATTGTGTGCTTCATTTTATTGCTACACTGTAAAAAGTGAGACTAATAATTATTTGCTTTATTTTATTACTCTATTCTCTGTTGAACATGGATATAGGCTTAAAATGAGTCACAACGTACATGGAATTCAGGTAGGACTAAAACATTCACATCGAGTCGTTAAGTTTATCTTTTATCATTCTACAGGACAACTTTATCTATTTAGATGTTGACATGATGGACGACATCAGTCTCTCTGAATCAGTTATAACTGTTGAGCAGCCTCTGTCATGGGATAAATTTATAGCGACTGCAATCACTCCCGACGAACAAGACCTCAATCACTCTGTATCTACTGAATGCAATAAGAAGAGAAATGACAACTTAAAGAAAGGGAAAAGAGAAGAAAATACATCACCTTGTAGATACTACCCCTGAGTTTTTAAACATCTGAGTTTTTCACTAAAAATCAGGAGAAATCATATGTATACACATTCCATTATATTTGTTGTTTTAATCCTGAACTATGAACAATACAGCTTTGTTATCACTCTACTATACCGCAATGTTATCTGAGAATGTTTGCTATATGATTGAAGCAATAAAATGTTAATTGAGAATACTTATACATGCAAGAGCAGGTGTGCCAGTAAGACTAGCAATTTTTATTCTGTAAGCGAAATAAAAATAATTTTTAGCTGATGAGAATTAATCCTAGCACAAAATGTATACTATACTGATCTTCAACAAGGTGATAAATACAAAGAAGTCCTTTCCTGAGAAAAAGTCATTCAATAGACTAAATCATTGTTATCAAATTGTAGTAGGTCATGTAGAGTAGGGTGGGCTTCCTGCCTAGTAATAACTAAGAAGAAGCCACATTTTTAGTGTAAAGACTTATCAGGAAGTGGCTAACTGTCCATCATTCATTGTTCACCATTAGGCTCACAATGAGGTTCTCTCTAGTCCTGCTCCTTCTAACTACTGAACTCTTCAGGCTGTCACTTGCTGAACCTTGTGGTGGATACTGTAAGTCTTCTTAATTTGGAATCCTCTAGCTCATATCTTTTTCTTCACTTACTGCAGGTTCTAATCCATCTAATAAATTGGACATCAGTGCTGAGTGTGTCAATAACTCATTTGGCACAGTAACTTGGTCTTTGAAGGATAAGAAAGCTGAAGAAGTTTTTATAATGATGGAATGCTTTAACAACAATACAGTAAGTAGTGACTCCTGCAGCTTAGACAGCATGCCTGCCTTTAGTGTTGACTTTCATGCCTCCCCATGCAGTCACCATTACTCAAGACTGTATAGCTGTATGATTTAGTACTCTTGATGTTTATAATAATAATTTCTAGTTTTCATATGAGCTCATATTAACAACACCCACTGATTCAATTGAAACAGAGAAAAGATCAGTACAATACTCATCTATCATTAGCTCAGGCATTTATTGTTCTGTCATTGGTTGTGTTGGAAGATCAGATTCAACGTGCGGAGTAGCAGCAGCTACAGAATGCACTTATACTCCAACAAGTAAGTCAGTTTTATGTATTATTATTTCATACTATCTCTTGCTATGATACATATACTTTTGTTTCATTGTAAGCTCAGAAAATGGCCTATTGTTTAACACTAAAATACTGAGCTTTTTCCTGGCCATAATAAATTCCCTTGTAACACAATATATTTTATATGTTTTTATAGGTAGTGTGGTTAGTGATATCACAGTGACCTCTAATGAAATTACAGACTATTTCACTATGACAACAACCTTAGATCATTCACCTACCACTTTGGTGTCAATCACAGGAGAATCGAATTACTCCTTGTTCTCAAGCATGAAAGAAACAAGTCGACAACAAATGACTACACATGACACATCATACCCATCAAGCACTAGCTCTGTTTTAACACAGTCTTCTCAATCACAGTCTTCTCAATCACAGTCATCATTTCAATCATTGAACTCACAGTCATCATTTCAATCATTAAACTCACAGTCATCATTTCAATCATTAAACTCACAATCTTCTCAGTCATCAGAGCCCACCCTGCCAATTTCTGATCCAACTATAGATACTACTGTACTTACTATTATAATAGCAAGTGTTCTTATTCCTGTCATTGGTATGATTGTCTGTTGCATTATAGTTTTTGTATACATCATTGTCTGGAGAAATTCCAAGTAAGTGTAATGTGGCTGGTGGTTTGGATGAGCCTTAATTGTACTCTTTTCTTTCTCTTTCTCTCTCTCCCCCTTTCTCTCTCCCCCTCTCTCCCCCTTTCTCTCTCCCCCTCTTTTTACCCTCCCTCTCTTTCTCACCCACCTGCGGCTGACCTGCCTCTCTCTTTTCCTTCCTCCCCCAACATCTCCCTGTAATCTCCCTTGTTATCTTTTTTTCTCTCTCTCTTCTCTTCTTTGTTAGGCGTGTGACACATAACGAGCCTCTTGATTTCTCTCGAATTTTTGAAATGGTATGTCATGTAACATTCTCTACTCTATTTAACAATAACAATATTTGCATTCTTTACTTTTAAAAGGAGCTTTACAAGTTGGATGATGTCAGCTTAGGATCTGTAGTCACCGTATTCCAGCCATTACAAAACTGTACCCTGTTATCAGAGAAAGTCAACACTGTTAATAATAAAGACACAGAGAGCATCGACTCAAATAATGTCAAGGAATTTTTCTCTTCTATAAAAACTGATAGCACTCAACAAGCATTAGAGTCAAATAAACCAGCAGACATAAATAATTATGAATCGCCACAAGAGTCAAACAAACTAGCAAAAAGTACTGACTCTAACACTCACAATTCTTCATTAACTCCAGTTCAAACAGCAGCTGTGACAGCATCATCCTGTGATACCAGTGGCTATGTAACAGTGTCTCATATGCTTAACACACAGCCTCACAATACAGAGAGTGAATTTATGGACACTAGTAGTGATTTAATGGAGTATGACAATAATGAATTTAGTGACAAAAGAAATCAAACCAGCTCTGGAATAAAGTTCGATTCAAGTGCAGGCTCCAGTGATTACGTACACATGTGAACAAGAATCAATATAACTATTTGCAAGAACACATATCCATCTCCTATCTTATTATGTGCATGATACATTTGCAATGTATGTTATCATAGCTCAGCAATGTAGTTGATAAACATTATATTCAGTGCAAATGTAACCTGATACTGGACAAGTATATAGAGGAGGGAGTTGGAATATGTGTGTGAACCACAAATGCTTATAGCAATTTGTATTTGTATGGGTGCTACACATCTAAGTTTGGCTAAAAGTTACTCAAATTAATTAGTGAGGGATGACCTATGTGGCAGGACGTGATCCAACCCTCCCACTATTTGCAGGGCAGATGCATGAATGCAAAGAAAGCACTCATGCATTTTTGTAGAATGACAAACATGTGAAGATATGATTCTAAAATGATGCAGTATGCATTGTTAGTCAAAGCATGTATAGTCTAGACTATAGTGACAAATGTAGTGACTAACCACTACATATCTTTTCAGCTCACTGCACACAATTATAGCATATAACCACACATCCCCGTCCACTCCAGGCTCACTTGGAGTAAGCAAACATCAGAGGAAAGGAAGCAGCAGAGTTCACTCAAAGTAGATCCACAGCAGCAGCTAAAAATGATTTTCCTGGGTTTCCTGCTACTTCTGATAGCTAAAGGAAATGCAAGGTGTTCAGATAGTTACAGCTGTAAGTTCAAAGAGCACAATAGTTTAAATAATTTCTTAAATCTGCAGGCACTCTGGATCATATAGAGATAACAGCTCAGTGTTATAGTAATGATACTGCTTTGGTAAAGTATACTGGTGGAACTATGTACAATCAAATAATGATAGACAGTCATTGCTACTACTACACCAATGATACAGTATGATAATTATTTATGAGAGAAAGAGAGTGATGAGCATCAAAATTAAAGCATTTAGACTTTTATGTTTATTATTTTTATAGTTAGCTGGATCTTATACTCTTACAGAAGGCCAGATTAATAGACCTACATGGAACAAAATCATAAACATAAGTGATACCTACTGCATATTCAAAGGATGTGTAAGAGACACAGAAGAAATCCCATTCATCACTTGCCATATACAATCTAGTCCAACCTGCAGCTCACAGCATGATACTTCATCCACAACTTCAGTGACTGATTATTCTATTCAACCAACAATCATTAGCAGTTACAGCAGTGAGTTTTCGGATTTTGCAAGTGATATGATGAGCATATACAGTCTCAGCAGTACATTATTCAAAGACAGCATTTTAACAAACAATTTAATGTTATCAAGTATCTACACAAAAAGCACCAATATCTTAAGTACCAATACCTTGAAGGATAGCAGTATCTTAAGCACCAGTATCTTAAGCACCAGTATCTTAAGCACCAGTATCTTAAGCACCAGTATCTTAAGCACCAGTAGCTTGAGCACTACTGATGATCGCTCAACTCCTTCTTCATTTCCCACTCCTTCAACAACTGGTTCTTCACAACCTTCTACTACTTTCTTCTCATCATTTTATATAATTCTGTTAGCAGTGATTGGTTTTATTGCATTGCTTGCATCATGCTTGGCATTGACCATCTGTATTACTTATTGGCAGTATTCAAAGTGAGTTTATAAAAAACACTCAGTTATAATAATACTATAAGCATAGTCAATACCCATGTACCTGTTTACTCTTTGTGCGCGTGTATGTATGAACATGAATTGTTTCTGTGGCTCATTAGTCTCAATATATCATATTTTACAGGTATCAAACTATCAAAGGAAAGAAAAAATTTGAAGACTTTCCAATGTTTAACATGGTATATACTAGTTCACAACGATTTGTTTTGAAATGATTATTATAATATTTTAGGAAATTTACAAACTCGATAATGTAAGCTTCTCCGGCTCTGTCATTACTGTACTGCAGCCACTACAAGAAATTGCTATCGAGAGCACTACCAAGACATCTGACATTCAAACTGATGACAGCAGCAGTTATAATGTAAAAAGAAGCTCCTCCGAGCCTGCTTTTAATTCTCCTATTAAATCTCAAAGCAGCAACAGTACACTGAGTCTGGCAGATGATGAATCAACTCAAACTAGAAAGAGAAGAGAAGTAGACACTAATGCAGTGCTTGCCGTACATTGCTCTGAAGACCTCAAGGACAACAACAAAGAAACAGAAAGGATTAACTCTACCCCTTCTGTTAGAAGCACAACAAACGGCATAACTACAACTACAAGCACTCCTACTAATCATCATCCTGGGTCAAAATTCCCTCCTCGAGTATCAGTAATCAATGACGACACACTTGAATATGTAAAAATGACTGACTTAAGCTTGCAACAGCATCAGACCGAAGATGACGAGGAAGGAGGATACAGTAGCATGTCTCTATACGACACTTAAAACAAATACACATACATACTAGCACTTCCCACATGTGAACTTCTACAAAGTATTTGCCCTTGTAAAGCATTGGGCTCAATGATGTGAATAGTATCATGCATGAATAGCCCATTGTATTTTTAGCCTCCCAGAATTGTCTGTTGTTTTAAGATTAGCTTCATCATTATTTATGTGATAAAATAACAATAACAATAACAGCAATAACAATAATATTAATTCTTATTATAATTGATGCAAAGTACAAAACTAAATACAATTGTTCATACATGAAGCAATTTTAATACATCAGCAATCAGTTATTTGAGGTTCAAAATAATAATGACAATAATACTTTAGTTTTTGTCAACAGAAGGATAGCCCCACGTTGTCATTGGAACAAAGGTCTCCTTAATAGAAATAGGAGAAACCCACTTGAAAACATAGGAAGTAGCTCCAGACTTGTCATTAGTACCTAACAAATAACAGCAATCAATGAGCAATGTATAATGTACATGTACATGTACACTAATATGCCCGTGCAGCAAAACTATGGTGTTTGCTAGTGTCAAAAATACCTGACATTCTGCTACCACCAAAAGGTTGCTGTCCAACAACAGACCCTGTGGATTTATCATTGATATACAAATTGCCAGTTGCATTCCTTAGCACTCTTCGTGCCTTTTCAATAACAGTTCTATATATGTAAACAAAAAAAATTTGACAAATGTACACGCACATACATGTACATGTACATACATGTACATGTATGAACATGTACCACACCTGTCTCTGGCATATATTGAACCAGTTAGACCATAAGGAGATGTCTCGTCAATCAGACGAAGAGTTTCGTCCCATTTGTTATCAGGGAATACGTATACAGTCAAAACCGGCCCGAAAATTTCCTAATAATAATAAGAATAATAACACAGGACCTGTTATATTATACAGGAGTAATGGAGTAATACCAACCTCACTCATCAATTTGTTACGAGGGTTAGTCGTCTGAATGACAGTTGGTTGAACGTAGTATCCAACACTATAAAAATAATATGAATGTAATTATGATTAATATGATTTAAACTATTTCTGAATTGCATGTATTATTACACACTATAAAAATAATATGTATGTAATTATCGTAAATATGATTTGAATTATTTCTAAATTGCATAGTTCAAATCATATTAACAATAATTACACTCATATTATTTTTATAGCGTGTAATAACACACTATAAAAAATAATATCAATGTACTTATTGATAATGATTCAAACTATTTCTGAATTGCACGTACATTATTACACAGATGACTAGGTAGAATGTGAGTTTAGATTGCAAGTATTACAAAAACAAGTGGAACGCTATTCATACCATGTAGGACATACCCACACCCAAACAATACATGTACATGGATAGCACATGATCACTTATCATAGTACAGCATATTGTACCTGTCATCTGATTCACCTCCTGCCAATATTGTTAGCTCTGGATTTGATTTGGCGTAATCCAGATAGCCGGTTATTTTATCAAATGCCTGAAACGATAAACAATATCATACATTTTAAAAAGTTAGTCCTGATAGGGCTAGGAGAGAATTCTCCATTTTATAATTATTTTCTAAAGCATAATAATTATGTCACATGCGTACATTTTTATGTTGTGTTCAATGAGTTGGCTAATTTCTATGAATTTTTAAAATTGCTCCAATTTGACAACACACCATGTATATATTACAGTAGAGGGTGTTAATGCATGAGTTGGGAGTAAAGTAAAAGGATATAATGTATTGGACGTACAGGCTTATCAATAACTGATGAAGTAAAGGAAGTAAAATCTTCACCCTAAAACCAAAAATAACTATTAAAAGTAATACATAATACAAATTAACTTACAGGACCAACTTTAATGTCCTTTACTTGGTTCAAAAACTCATCCTTGATCTACATGTACAAGTGATGAATATAAAGAGTCGGGTGACAGGTTACCTGTGACCATACAGACTCTGGTACATACACTCTGGAGCAAGCTGAACACTTTTGTCCGCTGTACTCAAATCCTGATCTAAGAGTCCCATTGATCACTGACTGAAGGTCGGCTGTTTCGTGAATCAAGTGAAAGTTTTTGCCACCACATTCACCAACCAAACGTGGGAATGACCTGATAAATATTATGTAATATATATATCAAGATTCGGCTAATTCTTAAATTTGAGCATTTTAAATAATGCCTTATTATGCTATGGGCAATAATACAAATTTTATTATGTACAACATAAAATGCAACCATAGAAGTCAGTTAGCTACTACAACTCTAGTAAACTACTAAGAGTACATGTGTACGTGTAGTAAATTGAATTACCTGTAACTCTCAATATTGGCCCCAACCTGCTTCCACAAATGTTTAAAAGTTCTATTATACAAACAACCTTTCAATCATGACTAACAATCATTAATGTATTAAACTCACTTTGCACTCCCAGTGAAGCTGATAGCTGACAGATGAGGAGAGGCAGTGACTGTGTCCCCAAAATCTTGAGGAGGTGCAGGTACAAAATTTATGACGCCATCTGGAACACCAGCTTCTCTTAAAACCTTAAACACGTACCAGTTAGAAAGGATTGCAGCATCAGAGGGTTTCCATACAGTGACATTACCCATAAGGGTAGGAGTACCACCAAGATTACCACCTTTAAATGTAAGTGATATACACTACTTAAATCATGTAATACGTATGATATACATGTACATGTACATGCATGTACAGAAATGTACAATTGTACATGTATGTTAGTCTTTTGTTTTTCCTCCCCTTCACCATCCCTTGCTCTCCCACACTGAAAGTAACACTACATTAATCAATGAAGATATTTGATGTACACGTACAATCAAATGCTCACTCACTCATACTAAGAATGCGTGGTGAGGTATATGTACCAACAACATACATAATTATTGAGCCAAAAACATGACATGCCCTAGTGAGCCCGTTCTACATGTACATGTACATGTAGTTACGATTCCTCAATATCAATAAACATAATAAAGACCACGTACCAATGGCGGTGAAGTTAAATGGAGATATTGATGCCACAAAGCCCTCCAGCCCACGATACTCTAACCTGTTCCAGACCCCCTTTGGATTATGAGGAGGCTGGGTCCAGTACATGTCATTAGCTGCTTCAACGGCATAGCGATAGAAATCGATAAGCTCGCATGTTGCGTCTATTTCCGCTTGGAATGCTGTCTTACCCTATAAAAACAATAATATGTCATGTTATCTGTGTGTGACTATGTTTCCTTATTATCAAGAATAACATCAAACCTACCTGTCCAATCATCGTAGTAGCCAGTAGATGGTAGCGATACTTTGTACTTATAAGATCAGCTGCTTTCAGGAACACAGCAGCTCTGTTGTTTATCATTTAACAATTAATACTAATGTCAGTAATACCTGTGCTCATAAGGTAAATTGTCCCACTCCTCCCTTGCTTTTAGTGAACAATCAATTGCTTCTTGTATCAGTTCCTGTGTATTGGGAAGTCACATGAATCCTACACGACTGCAAGGAAACATACCTTAGTTGCATAATGATACGTAGCTACTGTCCTTGATACATCATAAGGCTAAAGGGGAAGAAAATGGAGGGATAAGAGAGAGAGAAAAGAGTAAAAAGAGTGAGTAATGCATAAAAAATTATAAAAATTCAATTTGTGGTTAGAGTATACTGCACACTTGTGCATACAATGAATCCCATAATTTTGACTCTCCCCATGGCAGGCTTTGAAGTTTTAACATGCATGTACATGCACACCACTGACCACTCAATCATAAAGAGACAATATGCATGAATAGTCTACATGTACATCTGCCATCAGCCCTTTGCAAAAAGGTGTAAACATTTGGATTAACACGTGTGAACCAAGATTTAATTTCTCTTTGTTTGGTTAACATCAATGGCAACTTAAGTCAGTAACATTATTTTAATACAAATAATGAAAAGAATTAGATTTGGTATAGCATTTAAATTTGGCAATTAGCAATTTGCAAGTGAAATTGCCCCAGCAAACTAAAACAGCCAATCATCAATGTGCATGCTCAGTAATGCATGTGTACACAAAAACCACGAAATTAAAACCAAATTGAAACCTCCAATTACATTTTACAGCAAAATTGCAAGAATAAAGTGCCACTATACATACATACGGTGTTCCAATCCTCACTTACGCATTCTCTTTTCATAATGTTTCCAGTAAAAACTTCTCTTCCGCCCACGACACAAGGTATTTCTTGCGACCCTCCATCCTTTAATTCTTTAAGAACCTACAATATGATTTCATTACTGCTATAAAAAGCTAATGAGTTTGTACGTTCTGTAGTTCCGTCCTCTCTGAGCTGTCACGTGAGAAACTAAGCATCGGCTCGTTGATCATGCGAGGCACGACCACGGCGGGCGAGGAGTAAAACCTGTCACGGTAGCCATAAACAATTATTTTAAATATGATCCCTTCATTACCTACTAATAATACAGCTTGCATGCCTAGCTCCTTTGATAAACAGAGCCATTTTGAACGGGCTAGCTAAATGGGTGTTGCTATGGTGAGGTGGGGCTAATTAAAAACACGTGGGCGTTAAGGATGTGGGCGTGTTCCTGCATACCAGAAGCTGGGAGGAGGGGCTCGTAGTTTGCGTCGATTGTCGGATTTGTGCTGAAGATTGTTTTCTGTCTCTCATAATCTCTACAGTTATCTCGAGCTTTTCTTGCTGTCTATGAAATGGAAAGCCTCAAGAAAGCATTCACTCCTTCTAGCAGGAAAGGAGACCTTGAGGTCCCCATGCTGTCTGGAGAGACGGGACTGGAGAGGTCTCGCTCCGTCGATACACCATACAGTGCAGTGGAAATGGTAAGCTTACAACCAAACCATTCAGTGTTCTAATAATAACAGTAGCATTTTGTTTCATTGAGAGATAAGTGAGTAAACAGTTGTAAAAATTGAAAGTTAAAAGTAACTTGCAGTTATAACTGCCACACCTGATTGCAATGAATAAATAATTAGCTCACATGAGCCGGTGTATAGCTCAGCTCAGCTCAGCAACTCTGCTTTCTGTGGCTGTTGCTTCGCAGTCTTATAAGTGATTCTTGAAACTACAACATCCTGTTAGGGATGAGCAGACATGCCTACACTAATATCGATGATATAGAGCGCTCAATGGAAGCAATGGCGAGCCACAAAGCGGGCCGCGATGAGAAGGTACGAAAGGCGGACTAGGCGAGACATCGTTCTTAGTACTAGCGGCTGAGTGTTGTCAATGTTGTTTTGTCACTATAGAACAGTTTGATGAGTAGCTCCAGCTCTTCTGTCAAATCAAAAGGAGGCAAGAACAAAAGGAAGTTGGCTCGAGCCAAGTCTGTGTTACCAGTTAAAGACTACGAGGTGAGAGAGAGGTGTCATTTTACTTATCAATCAACACTATCCACCCTTTGTCTCCTAAACTATAATATATTTACCTCCCTTTTCTCTCCTCTCTTTATTTATAGAGTTTAGATTATGATGTCTGTTATAATGTACCTCACAAGCAATGGATTGAATCTTACTCAAAATACGTCAGTTATTATCATAACAATAATCTGTTTTATTGTCTTTCCTTTTTACATCGCATCAACTCTTTTCGGCCCTCCCTTTTCCCTCTCTCTCTATTTCCTTGTTCTCTCCCTCAGACTTATAAGCACATTGCTCTCATGAGGTGGATAATGGTTGCACTCATTGGGATAGTGACTGGCACAATTGCATTTCTCATTAACGTTGGCATACATTATCTGAGAAAGCTAAAATATCAAGAATTTTTTAGAGGTAAAATAATTTATAGAGATACATGTACATAATGATCACTATTATTTAGCATTATTGTTTTATTTATATATTTTATTTATTTTTATAGTCTATGATTTAACGCGAGATTCTGGCACAGTATTCCTTGCTCTGTTAGTAATTGCTGGTTTTAATGTATTTTATTCTATCTTTGCTGGTATCCTGGTCGCTATCGAAGTAAGTATTACTTTTGTATAAAATTTTATTATTTTTTAAATGTTATTGTAGCCAATTGCTGCAGGTAGTGGAATACCTGAAATAAAGTGTTACTTGAATGGAATAAGAGTAAGATATCACAATAAAACAATGTTTGATGATTATGTCTTTATTCTGTAGATGCCAAGAGTTGCTAGGATACGTACGCTAATTGCAAAAGCTTGTGGTGTATTGTTTTCTGTGGCAGGAGGTAAATAAAGAATGTTTTTTGTTTGTGCATCAAGTTTACTAATACTCAAATATTGCATTTATAACATGCCCTATTTTGACTTCTATTGTGAAATGACCTTAGAATTTTGATAAACCTGTGGGAATGAGCCATCATGTGATTAATGAGAATGACTTGTGGCTTCAAACTGAAAGCATATTAGTACTCGTTATTTTTATAGTAAGACGCCTCTTCTTTGTATATGTCGTCACATGATTTTGCCTAGCCTTGACCCTTTTAGTTGTCTGACCGAGTGTTAATGCAATAACTGGTTACTGTATATTGGTTTCTGTATTGATTATCAGTTGCTTAATATAATAATAATAATTATTATTATTATGATAATAATAATAATAGCTTTGTTTATGGTGGCAGTTTAGTTAGAAAGTGAGAGATGTTATTATACATTATAACAAAAGTACATGATTATAGTCTCTTTCTGTTTTTGTTTTTCTTCTTTGATCTCTCTCTCTCTCTCTCTCTCTCTCTCTGTTCCTTTGTCAGGGTTTCTTGTTGGTAAGGAAGGTCCTATGATTCACAGTGGCGCTATTGTTGGGGCAGGGATACCACAAGTAAGCTATTAATACACTAATTGATACCATTTAATGGTCTTGTTTGTTTATTTGATATTGCACATGTATTTTTGAATATTTCTTATGTGCTGTTAATTAGAGAGATACTCTTACGATAAATGAATTTAGACAAAGAGGGGCTTTTGAATTTTATTTTATGGTTTTGTTAATTAGATATTAGGATTGATGATTTAATTACATGTAGATATTAGGATTGATGATGTGATTGGTTTTTATTTTATAATTCATTTTGCAGCTGAGGAGTTTTATTTGGAATAAGCTCAGGCTACCTTATCCATACTTCAGAGATGACAAGTAATTATATTATATTAAAAGATTATTGATTTAAATTATTTTTAGAGACAAGAGAGATTTTGTATCTTGTGGAGCTGCTGCTGGCGTAGCAGGTAAGTATAAAGACAATAATTGATGAATCGGTTAGTTGATTATACTCACATGTAGCTGCATTCGGTGCACCTATTGGTGGAGTCTTGTTCAGTTTAGAGGAAGGATCTTCGTTCTGGGATCAGGGATTAACCTGGCGCTCTGTTAGTACACATTATAAAGAATAATTATTATTGTATCATTCCATTCCTTTAATCTACTACCCAACTTACTCCCTCCTCTCTCTTTCTCTAGTTGTTCTGTGCCATGTGTTCCACATGTGTTATACATGTGTGTTATAAAGAATATTCATTATTGTATCATTTCTTCCCTTTAATCTATTATGCATTATAATCTCCCTCCCTCTTACCCCCTCCTCTCCCTTTCTCTAGTTGTTTTGTGCCATGTGCTCCACCATTACCCTCAATCTCTGGCTTTCTGGGACTCCTCTTGTACCTAGAGCTAAATTTGGCGAGCTCGATCAACCCGGCCTTATTGATTTTGGAAGATTTTCAAACGGAGGAACTGATGGAAACCTTTGGACCTTCCCTTATCTCTTTCTTTTTATTCTGATTGGTGCTGGGGGTGGTTTGTTAGGAGCTTGGTTTAACAGTCTGAATACAAGATTGACTATATACAGAATGAAACATGTGTTTAGGAAAAATGTCATTTACAAGTAAGTCAAGAAGGAGGGAGTAAGAGGAGGAGGAGGATAAGGAAGAGAGAAGTAGGAAAGAGAGAAATAAGAGAGAGAGTGTGTGTTTAAAGGAGAGATAGGAAAAGAAGTGGGGTCCATTATAGCCAATGGCTTTCTCATTTCAGGGTACTAGAGGTCATATTAATAGCTATGGTCACTACGGTTAGCTTCTTTATTCTTGCTACACTTCTGGGTACTTGTGTTCCAGTCATCACAAGAACTGAACAGCAATTTGCCAACAGTACCAGGAACTTTTTTTGTCCTACCGGAGTCACTTTTTCAACCATTAGATTCAATAACTATTTCAATGACCTAGCTACTCTTATGTTCAACTCTGAGGAGGATTCAATAAAACAGTTATTCCATCAAGACGGTTAGTTCCTTTAGCAGTTATTGTATGCACTGTGTTAGAATGCAAGGAAAGGATACAGTATGTGTATGATATGACATTGCTAGTGTCAATAGTACATTAAGGTTTAGGGTTTAGAGTTTAAGACTCTTGCTAGTGTGAATGAGAGAGCAAGAACTAGGCATAGAGTAAAATACTAATAGTAGTAATAGTAAAGATACAATAGTGTGTGTATCAACTTTGAGTTGATGTTAATGTAATTTAGATTTTTTATGAATTTTTAAAGCTGCTCAAAAATCTGGCCTGATACCATGGGCTGTAGTACAGGGACTTTGATCAAATTTCATCAAAAATGGCAAGGGGAAAATTCTCCATTTTTATAATTTTTTTCTGATACATATACATGTCCTTAACATGTGTATCAACTTTGAGCTGATTTTAATGTAATTTAAATTTTTTATAAATTTTTTAAAGTTGCTCAAAAACTGGACCAATGGCAGTTAGCTGTTGGTCAAATTTCATGGCTAGAAGAGAATTCTCCATTTTTATAATTTTTTCTAATGCATGTCATTTACCTGTATAGTACAAAATGACTAATTTTGTATATTTCTTCAGGTGCGTTCACACTACCGACACTAGGCTTAGCTTTCATTTGTTATTATTTCATTGCTTGCTGGACATATGGAGCAGGAGTGCCCAGTGGATTATTTGTACCATGTCTTACCATTGGAGCCCTCTATGGTAGATTCATCATCACTGCCATGCAGTAAGTGACCCCCTTCAGGGGAATATGAAGGGGTCTGACATTTTTATTTGTTTCTAGGACCGCTGGCATACCAACAACAATAGACCCCGGAACTTTTGCACTAATAGGAGCTGCCGCTTTCTTAGGGGGTGTGGTTAGAATGACTGTTAGTCTGACGGTAATTCTTATAGAGTCGACAGATGAGATAGAGTATGGTTTACCGCTTCTGATAACGCTGATGGTGGCTAAATGGGTAGGAGACCTCTTCAACGAAGGACTTTATGACATACACATAGAAGTGAAGGAGATACCTCTGCTAGGCTGGGACTCACCTGAAAAAGTGGACAGGTATATTAGTTGCAGTCATCCACATTGTATAAACATTGTATAAATTGGCTCAAACTTTATGTCTACATGTACAATGTAGCTTTTATTGTATTTTTCTAACACTTTTGTATAAACACGTCATTTATTTTTTATGGTTTATGATTCCTTAGTTTGTCTATTTCATAATTTGCAAGTACTGCAATGTATCATATGTATATACATTGTACATGTAGCTCTGACTGTGTGTGTGTATAATCTACATGTACATACCAGGTACATGTACATGCATGTTTATTTTTTAAAATAATAACTACATTGCCTATTTGCATATACATGACCCTTATGTACATGTACATGTACAGTGTTTATGACTTCATGTTTAACTGTTTTGTTACCATTTTAGGCTAACAGCTACTGATGTCATGAATCCTGATCTCAAGTACATATACCCCATCAGTAGGGTCGGCTCCATTGAGCGTCTTCTTAAAGTCACGGCACATAATGCATTTTTTGTAGTCACTCCTCTCTCGGTCTCAGCTGAAGACACCACCAGCTCAATTGGAGTCTCCAAGCAAAGTCCTTTGCTTTACGAAAGACGCTCAATACACCCGGTACACAGAACCAGATTAATAGAGCAGAGGAGAAAGAAGGAGGCCTTGAAGAGGAAAGAGTACAAGGAGGCTACTATTAATGATGACGGAGAGTCCAGAGGTGCTACTCCGTTTTCTTCTGGAGCAGAGGAAGGAGTGCAAGATAATGCCTTTGTGTTCCATGGTCTGATACTCCGGTCACAGTTAGTCGAGCTGATCCGCAATAGGATATTCTTTGATGAGAATTTAGGAGTAAGTACATGTACATCTACAATCAATCTGCATGTACAATCTACAATCAATCTAGTAACAATCTACATGTACATGTACATGTACATGTACATGTAGATTGTTACTGTGATGTGGTACTGTACATGCATACAGAGCTTCCCACAGGATTTTTGCATAGTGCTCATTCAGCTTCTTGTCAGTGGATTGTCAAGTTGCTCAAAAAATTATTAGGCCAAAGACCCTTATAGTACAGGGTATTTCAACAAAAATTACAAGGAGAGAATTCTCCAATTTTATGATTTTTCTAATGCATACAGTGTTTTATACTTTGGGGTATGTTTGCTTTGTATTAACTTTTAGCTGACTCTGATCAAAGTTCAATATTTTATAAATTTTTGAAGTTGCTCAAAATCGGGCTAATGACCAAAGGCTATTTGGTCTCAGGGCAAATTTTGTCAAAAAAGGCTAGGAGTGAATTGTCTACTTTCATAATTTTTTTCTGATACATTTACATGTCTTTATGTTATGTATCAAGTTTGAGCTGATTCCAATTTGCAAATTTGGATTTTTAATGAATTTTTGAAGCTGCTCTAAATCCCATGTACATTTTTGTACTGTATCGTAGTACTTGTCAGCTCATGAAGCATACTGTTTAACTCACTTAGCATGCTTTACCCTGCATAGTATGTACATGTATGTAAGTAACACGTTTTAAAAGTTATAATTCATAGTTCTACCTTCAATTTAATGTAGGTTGAGACTCAGCCTCCTATCAGTCATTTGAAGCTAAACAAAGATTATCCTCGCTTTAAAGGAATTTATGATATTAAGCTGGAGGAAGGAGAGAGACAAATGCTGATGGTAACGGACATACATGTACATACGCCTGCAAATACGCTCCCCCTTCCTTTTTATTACTATTCACCTGTTGACATTATCTTTTTTTATTTTTCTCTTCTCTCTCTTTCTTTTAGGATGTCAGTTTATACATGAACCCATGCCCATATACCATATCGCACCATGCACCACTGAGACGTGTCTTTAATTTATTCCGTACAATGGGACTTAGACACTTGCCTGTTATTGAAGACTCTGGAATAGTAAGAGTAGAGAGAGAGAGAGAAAGTAGAGCGGAGAGGAATTCTAGAAAAAATTAATATCAGGGTGTTCGTGAAGTGTCAAAGCAGCTATTCACTCTTGCTGTAATTGTAAAGCTCGAAGAAATTACCAATACAAAGACTCAACTACATGTACATGTACATGTATTTCAATTCAAAAATTGTCAAAAATACTCAAAATCACAAAATTACATATAAATGCCAAGCATAGTGCATGTATTTTAAGCAGTACGGCATAAAAGAATGCTGTTGCATAGTATCGAAGCATTAGAGTACAGTTTATACATTTGAAGTTATATTTGGTGACATTTCACAGCATGTCTTTATTCTCTATTTGTGCAAGGTATTATTTAATTCTTTTCTATTGTTCAGGCCGTTGGAATGATAACTAGACATGATCTGACACATGAGCACCTACACAAAGCACTCCATGCTAAATCACACCATGGCAGTAATGACAATGATAGCAATGAAAATGATGGGGAGCTCGATGTTGCTTATCGCTTTAAAGCTGCTTTAAAGAAATCTCTATCAAACCTTTCTATGTGATAAATGCTTGAGAAAATTCTGACTAGGTTGTGTAGCTGTGCGGGCACTGCCCATTTAATGTATGTACAATGTAGCATTAATAGTTTGTCATTTTTGTATAATTATTTTTTATTATAATCAAAGACCATTTGATATTGTTGTTGCTTGTTATTATTATTATTATTATTATTATTATTATTATATTGTGGGTTTAAAGTGTTATTGATGTCACTTAGGGTTATTTTTGTACTTTTTATCTTTATTATTTATATTGGTTTTGTGTGAATGCTTGGAGTTCCAAATTGCAAAAGGTCTTGATCAATTTCCTTGTTCAATGTCTCGCTCTTTGCTTCCGATAATTTACTGCTGACCTTCATTTGAAGTTCCAAAGTATTGAATGCATCCTACACAGAAAAGAATGGAAAGTAGAAGCAGAATATGTTTAACAGTATTAAAAGCTGCAAATTTTATAGTACATTTTGTGTATAGATTTTTACCTTAAGGATGGTACGATATGACATCTGTAGCATAAATAACTTTGTTTTTATTGTTGTAACCTCTGTGTCTTTCTCTTCCTGGAGTTTATCTTTCTCCTTAGTCACTTCAGTCAGTGTCTGCTTTGTTGTCTGTAGTTCACTTGTTAGTTTTTTTACAGTTTCTTCTAGGGCTAGTATTTTTGTTTCACTTTGCAGTTCAAGTGTCTTATACTGACGTGTCAAGTCAAAGCAAATGTCTTTTGTGTCACCTCTTTCCTCCACCAGTTGTGCTTTTGTCATCAGTAGTTTTTCTCTTGTTTCTTTCTCTGCTGCTTTAAAATATTGAGCAATCTCTTGTCTTCCAGCTAGATGCACATATCAGAGAAAGCATTATCCAGCCAAGTGACCATAAGCAATAGACATTATTGATCAAATCTAGTCACTATTATACATACTCAATTCTTCTCTGAGGTAGCCAACTGCTGGTGAAGTTACTATCAATTTCTCTTTTGTATTCAGCTGATATTCGTCGCCTATTATTATTAATCAACAAAAACAAGAGCTCCATATTGACCTTACCACCTTCTTTCATTTGCTTCTTTCCTTTACCTCCTGCCTTACTCATGTTTCTTAGCTAGAGCTTTGGTGCGATGTTACCTGATGGCTGTTGTCATTGGTAACAGACTCATTATAGTGAAGTGTTATAATTTTTAATGCTTCCTGCCTTTCACTAGAACCATGCAGTGACTCATTAACATTGACTGACTTAAAGTAAACAATAACAATCTTAGCATGTAAATTATACAATAAAGCATGCAGTAAAGTTTTAGATGTGATTATTTAAGTGGTTTCGTGTGGATGTCTGGTGTTCCAAATTTCACAAGAACATTTTGTATTTCACTGTCCAGAGTCTGACTTTCAATGTCCCACTGACCTCTGCTATCCTCCATTTGAACAGCTAAACTGTCCATTGCATCCTGAATTGAGGAAAGAATACAAAAAAATAAAATAGATGCATTGTTATATTTTATATGTCACCTGTATTATAGTTTCGTATGATTTCTTCAAGAATGACAACTGATTATTCAATGCTGCAACTTCAACCTCTTTCTCTTCTTTTAACTTATCCCTCTGTCTAGTCACTTCAGTCAGTGTCTGCTTTGTTGTCTGCAATTCGCTAGTTAGTTTCTTTATGGTTTCTTCTAGTGCTAGTATCTTTGTTTCACTTTGTAGCTGGAGCGTTTTGTATTGACGCGTCAGATCAAAGCTGATGTCTTTCTTGTTGACTTTCTCTTCCTCTACAATTGCTTTAGTGACTATTAACCTTTCTCTCATTGCTTCTTCTGTTGCTTTTGAGCGACGAGCATATTCTTGTCTTTCAGCTAATAAAAAAATAGTATTAAAATTTCTAAGTAGATATAGCCTTTTACTAGCAATCAGTTGAAGTAAAATTTAAACTTTACTGGTGTGAATTTTAATGTACATGCAGTGTGAACTTAGCCTCAGGCGTGACAAGTGTGAACTGTGAATTTCAGTACTACACGAAGTCAACTGGACATTTTTGTACAAAATAATTGAGGGCAATCAATATAGCTTTATTTATTTACCAAGCTGCTCTTTGAGATAACCAACTTCTTGTGAGGTCTTTTTGAATTTTTCCTCTATACTTAGCTCAAAGTCATCACCTAAGTAGGTAATGATAAATAGTTTCACGAATAGGTTAGTCTTACCGTCTTTCTTTTTGCCTTTCTTTCCTCCTTTCTTTGCTTTCTTTTTACCAGCTTTACTCATTCTTTGCTGCTCGTTAGCTGGTTGTCATAGGTTGTCATAGGTAACGGGCGTGGCTCATTAATAATTATAATGAGCCACACCTCCTGAAATGATAACTAACAATAAAAAGCCTCTCTCTCTCTCTCAGTCTCCTTTTTTCTTTGAATATTGACTGATTAAAAGCTTGGGCAGCTCAATGTGAGACATTGATTCTAATAATTTATGAAATTATGTACATGTACACACATACGTGTAGCATAAGGACATTGATATGTATCAAAACTTTTAATAAGAAATCTGGGTGATTTTGGAGTCTTTTTTTTGAAAATAGACATGGGCTATAGCTGTTGCTAAAAATTGGCTCGTTTTAAAAAATGCTCATAATTTTAAGAATATTTGGCGGAAAAAACGCAAACTTTCTAAATAGCATAAGGACATATAAAATTTTGGGGTGATTTCAGAGCCATTTTTTGGAAAAACCATGGGCTATAGCCTTGGGTATTTTTCAGAATTTTGAAGTTTTCTTAAAATGGCCGTAACTTGAAAAATTGAAGTCAGAATCAGCTCAAACTTTCTACACAGCATAAGGACATCAATATGTATCAGAAAATGGTATAAAAATTTGGGGTGACTTGGAGCCATTTTTTTAAAAAAAACCATGGGCTATAGCCTTGGGTATTTTTCAAATTTTTGACATTTTCTTAAAATGGCCGTAACTTAAAAAATTGAAGTCGGAATCACCTCAAACTTTCTACACAGCATAAGGACATCAATATGTATCAGAAAATGTAATAAAAATTTGGGGTGATTTCAGAGCCATTTTTTGGAAAAAACCATGGGCTATAGTCTTGGGTATTTTTCAGGTTTTTGACGTTTTCTTAAAATGGCCGTAACTTTAAAAATTGAAGTCGGAATCACCTCAAACTTTCTACACAGCATAATGACATCAATATGTATTAGAAAATGCAATAAAAATTTGGGGTGATTTCGGAGCTATTTTTTGGAAAACACCATGGGCTATATTTTTCTTATTTTCATTTTTAAATGATTTTTTCTGATTTTGTCCAACAGCGTGGAAATATTTTCGAATTAATTTAATTTTTTAAATGATTTTTTCTGATTTTTCTGAGAGGGTTTGAATACTTTCAAATTTTTTTAATTTTAATTTTTGGAATTTTTCTAATTTTTTTTAAGTGTGGGAATATTTTGGATTATTTTTATTTTTATTTAATGATTTTATCTGATTTTTTCCGACAGCATGGAAATATTCTGAGATTTTTTAATTTAATTTTGGAATTTTTTCTGATTTTTTACTGACAGTGTGGGAATATTTTTAGATTATTTTTATTTTTTAATTATTTTTTTCTGATTTTTTTCCAAGAGCGTGGGAATATTTTTGGATTATTTTATTTTATTTTTGAAATTTTTTCTGATTTTTCCAAGAGTGTGGGAATATTTTCGGATTATTTTTATATTTCATGATTTTTGTTCTGATTTTTTTCAACAGCGTGGGAATATTTTTGGATTATTTTTATTTTTACCTTTGCAATTTTATCTGATTTTTTTCAAAAGTGTGGGAATGTTTTTGGATTATTTATATTTTTAAAATTATTTTTTATTTTTTTTCAGAGAGCGTTGGAATATTTTCAGATTATTTTTATTTTATTTTTAAAAATTTTCTGATTTTTTCCGAGAGCGTAGGAATATTTTTAAATTTTTTAAATTTTTAATTTTTGGAATTTTTTGTGATTTTTCTCAAAAGCGTGGATATATTTTTGGATTATTTCTATTTTTTTAAATGATTTTTTCTAATTTTTTCCGACAGCGTGGGAATATTTTAGAATTTTTTTTTTTGGATTTTTTCTGATTTTTTTGAGAGCGTGGGAATATTTTTAAAATTATTTTCATTTTTTTAAATAATTTTTTTAAATTTTTCCGAGAGCATGTGAATACTTTCGAATTTTTTAAATTTTAATTTCTGGAATTTTTTTTGATTTTTTTCCAAGAGTGTGGGGATATTTTCAATTTTTTTAAATTTAATTTTTGGAGTTTTTTCTGATTTTATTTCCAAGCTTGGGAATATTTCCAGATCTAACATCATTATTGTTGTCATAATTTCCCATTACAGAATTTTTGAGGTCTGTAACTTTGGCGAATTTTCCCAAAAATCAATTCTTTTTAGATTAAAATTACACTGCTGTCTTGTATTGTAATGAATAATTATTGTCATAAATTTTCAAAGAATTGTAAAATCTGCTAAATTTATAAAAATTTCAAATTTTGCGTTATACAGCATTAAACTGATTTGATGATGAGAGTATTCCCCATAAGTATTAATTTTATTTCTATTATCAAACAATAAAATAATTTTTATTCATTGCTCATTTTAACTATTAAATCATTTCCAGTGACACTGGTAGAGTGCAGTATTTTTTTCCAGTCTTTACGTAAAAACCAAGCACCTCCTTCTCTAGCTTTGGACATTTTACTTGGATTGCTTCGAGAGGCACGTCCGTGCCAGATGTAGTAGCCGTGATCTTTTTTGCACGATTGCCGGCATATAATGTCTTGCGACAGTAATGTTACATTGAGTCCCTCCTTTGTTAAACCAGTAACTGTACAATGAGAGAAGCCGTGACAATCTTTTGCTACAAACCACTTAATAGCCGACTGGTGCAAGAGCTCGTTAACTCTTACTTGATCATCTTGTGCATTACTGTGTAGCAATTTTGAGTTTTCCCAGAATATTGCTATGTAACGAACAGTAGATACTATTGTTATTAAGTGTTACTTATGCTGCTTACCAGTTTGGTGAGTACTTCTAAACATAACTGCACCCATGCAGAGTGTTACTCCACCCCATTCACGACTTAATTCAAACGGATATTTTCCCTGTGATCCGATAATGTCAGACTGTCTAAATTGTTCAAATAAAGGTCGAGGGTCTTTGAGCAGCACTGCATCTAAGTCAAACATGAGTACGTCATACCCCCAATAGTTTAAGAGTCTTGTTATCATGCACCTAATGATCCATACATGTGACAATGAAGTATGCATTCCAGCAGATGAATCAATTACTTCATGCTTTCTCACACACACAGTTTCTATATCGTAGCCCAGCAAAGTCTGGCATAGTATATCATCAAGAGATAGAATAAGTACGTCATGTGTGGTAATATGTGCTTTCAAATGAGCAGCAGCTAACCAGTTAAACAAAATATCTTCATACAAGTGATCAGCTGTTATCAAAATAACTTGATTGGAATTGTGTTGTTGTAGATGATGCATAAGTTTTTGCATCCAGTGAGACTTTTTAAAACGAGAGGAAGAGATGAAAAGTTTTTTGCTGTGTAGAAATGTTAATGATGAATTAATATTTGCTAGTAGATGATGTGGATCCTGTTTAGACTTCACTATCTGGTAACTCCTATTTAAATAAGGTTGATGATATATAACAGGAAACCATTTATGGAAACAAATCGATATTACAAAACCTGATAGGCATATTAATAGAAACCAAAGGCACCAAATTGGCCTTAGAGAAGACATGGATATAATCTTCAGCATCAAAAGTGGGTGGAAAAACAAGGCAGGTTATTTTAATTGTATTCATGACCATGAGGTCAAGCCAAGAACACCACAGTATTTACAGTGCTTTTCCTTAAACTTGCATGAAAGGCAAGCAGAAATGTGTTATGAACATGCCCTGTTGTGGTCAGAAATAAAATGGATGCACCTACTTAATACTGACCACAACAGGGCATGTTCATAACACACTTCTGCTTGTCTATCATGCAAGTTTAAGGAAAATCACTGTAACAATGTTTCTTTGAACACTTTCCAAGCCCTTTTATCATGCTTTGATGTGATCAAGCAACACATGATGTTGCCTGTAAGCTATATAACAGCCAGTGCTATCAGATCTAAGTTGCTCTCACACCACTTGGCCACTATAGATGTGCTAATCACAGAATTCAGACAACAGCCACAACCTGCCTTTACCATTATACTTGTGGTGGTTGTCTGTTGTTTTCAGAATTGTTCATTGTTGCAACAAGGCTGCAAGGCTGTTGTACAAATTTATGGAAACCAGGTGTTAGACTCATTCAAAAATGAAGAAAAACAAAATTGCAGCATAAATTAATCAATCCTAATTAATTCTTAGTAATATCAAAGTACCACAACAATTTTCCATAATTATTTGTAACTTTGTCAATAAAATTAGGTGGAAACATCTTTTTTCCCTCTGGAGAGCAAGTCAACATTGGCCCACAGGCATTCACTTCAAAGCCAGCATCATTGAACATTTTAATCATTGTTGATTCGCTAACTGCGTAATTTTTGAATTTAATGATTGAGCCATCTGAACTTCGAAACTCATTAATGCAAGCACAAAAATCATCACAATCTTTGCTGTCGACAATTTCATCTGACTGTGGTATTATCTGGTATGCAAGCATTGGCCCATTCTTTATTTCTTCCTTCATTTTCATTGACACTGGACCTTTTAAAGCAGAATCAAGACATTCACGTACTCCTATGCAACGGCCGCCCTTTTTCAAACAAACCGACACAGCTTGAAGCATACGCTGCAGCTTTTCAGGGTTATCTGCGTAACAAAGCAAGTGGACAGCTATGATGACATCGAACTCGCCATATTCCGGAGTTTTAATGTCTATCACATCCTTAGTATAGTACTCAATACCAGATGAATGGTGACCATCATTGTCTTCATCCATTTTGCAAGCAACAGCAATTTGCTCCTCTGATAGATCGATTCCAACAACTTTAGAAGCTCCTTGCGCAGCTGCCCAACGAGAAAACAAACCACCACCACATCCCAAGTCAAGGACAGAAGCACCTTGTAGAGTATAATCTTTTTCTCCTTGTAGCACAAAATTAGTGAACGTGTAGAAGGTGGTGTTAGTCCAAATATCATCTGTCATGCTCTTTGAAAAGTTCTCACTGAACAGAACATTTTTATATTCGCTACCTGGTACATGTTCATCTATAGCTGTGGCCTCTTTTGCTGCCATTGCAACCGGAAAACCAGCACTATGATATGACAATAAAATATTATGATACTATAGTTATGAACAATGGAGTGGCTAACAGTTGGTTGCCAACTCCAGTACACATTACACCTAAATCCATTCACAAATTGGCTAGATACCACACACATGTTTAACTGTCCATCGCCATTGCAATGCCTTTGTAAAAATATTGAAAGTTTTAAGAAATCAAAATAATTTTATAAATGGAATACACATTTTTTATTCACAGTCCACTAAAAAAAAATTAGCAAAAAATTCATGAGCCACACCTTTAAAACAGTGTTTTTTTACTTTCCCAATAAATCTAATTATTAATAACATTACGTAGTTTAAAGTGTAACTGCAGTGATTTTTTAGGGTAGTTAACTATTATTAAGAATATATTATTATTAAGAATATAATTATTATTATTAATAAACTTTACAGCATAATAGTAAAATGAAAAACACAGAGAAGTAGAGTGCTGATGGTAACCTGGCAAACACACCAGGAACCAAAAAGGAAAAAAAAGAACATTAATGTATGAATGAATGGAGTTATGTACATGTATGACGGGAGCTGATAAGTTTCATGAATATTAATTATTTTTGCTGCAAACCACTCCCATTATTCTTAAACTCCACCCACTATTCTCTTTTGAAGCTATTATTCTACCCAGTTAAAATTTAGACCCATTGTTCTTAAAATTATTCTCAAATAATAGCCTCAGCCCTAGCCGCATAGATGCAGATAACTCTATTCCTTTATAGGGGGAAATGATCCTTTATTCTCATGTCTTGTAATGTAATATCACTAATTTAAAGATTGGGATCATTAGCTTTCATTATTCTAAGCTTGCAATTGCAAGAAAAAGTCATTGTAGCACAAGTAGGCAAATCTTCTTTTTGCCATTTTGAGTCTTTTTGTTGCAGTTGCATGCTTAGAATAATGAAAGCTAATGATCCCAATCTTAAAGTTAGTGCTATTACATTATCAATAAAGGATCATTTCCCCCTATAAAGGAATGGAGTTATCTGCATCTATACTCCTGTTTGGCCCACCCTCTAAATGGGTGGGCCTCTAACAGAGACAGGTGATAGTATTGATAACTGATAAGGTCATTCACTGATTCATCATTCATCTTCTATCTTCTTCCCCACTACCTCCAAGGCTTGCAACAAATGTCTCTTTCTTCAATCTGGACTGCAATAATGACGAGATATTTGTATGGGACTGCTTTCCACAGACTACTGGCTCGTGTCCTCTACTTTCCAACACTAGTCAGACTAATATTCAAACAGAAAGTCTCTATCACCAACTGGTACGATAGGATCGATGACACAGTTATATTAGGGGCACTACCTTTCAGAAGTATGACTAAAGAGGTGAATAATTGTAACAGAAAATCACACCACAGCTAAAGTAACATATGTTCTAACCTCTAACTAAAACTAGATATACATACCATATAGCGGAAAATTTTTGTGGATCCGTCCAAAAATCAATTTTATGGCTTTAATTTTTGTGGTATTTGGCCATCTTAAACCATATAAAATCAATTTTTGCGGATTTTATTTTCGTGGGTTTTGAAAAAAATGCGAAATCCACGAAAATTTTGGGCCACAAAAAATTTTAGCTATATGGTAGTGTGCCACACCTCTTCTGGTGCCATTTTCTTTATGTGACCCCATCTTTTGTACATGTATGTGGAGTGACAATGACGTCAATTCATATGTAACTTTAGCATTTTAAAGAACTCTCACTATTGTCCTAATTCATTATAATTGTTGCATGCAATTACAGTGGAACCTCTGTATAATGGTCAACTAGGAAACCGGTCCTTTGACCGTTATAATTTAATTACAGAAATTGGTCAGAATAGCCCCGAGTGACTCTATCTATAGTTGCTTGCAGAAGTTAAACGCCCAATAGGGTCTGTAATATAAGGATGATCTGTATTGAGTAAAAGCTATTTTTATTAATTTTGTGGTGTTTTTCACTTACAGTAAATCTATTTGTTTCTTTCCTTCTCTTAGTTGGTAGAGGGAGAGAAAGTGAGGGCAGTCCTCTCTTATAATCAAGATTATGAACTAAAGCTCTTTACTAATAGTTTAAAGGTTTGTAGTTAACATCAATCGTATACATGTACATGTGATAATGGTGTGTAGTGTTATTGGTATGAATAACAATAACTGTCATCCTTTGTATCAAAATCAGCACGTCCATAACAATTGCATTTTATGACTGAGGTGTATTATAGTTCTGACAGGTAGTAGTGATTATTTATTTATATGCTGTAAATTTTTTTGAGGTCCAGGTATTGCTAAACCTGATGTACTAAGACGCTAACAATTTTACTTTACATTGTTCAAGTGATTTATTTTGGCGGTGCTTTATTTTGACAGTTTGCTGTAAAATGTAATTGGTAGTTTTTTAATTTGGCAATTTTTGTGTACACCTGCATTACTGAGCATGTTTAATGATTGGCGGGCAATTTCGCTTGCAAATTTCCAATCATCAGAATAAAACCCTGTCACATTAAAGTACTATATGGTATTGTATATATTTATACTTCCGTTTACGAAAAATTTTACATTTATTTTGTTGCAAGTCATAACTCTTATTCACACTTGAGATGCTATTTATGATGCAGTGGAATTGGGTTAAAATTTTAGCCATAGAATTGTTCCTGGTAGTTACAGTAACATTTTTATTTCTTTAAACGCTTGTTAAAAATAATTATTTTGGCTACCTTGTGAGCAAAATTTATTGCTACTTGTAAACGAAAATTTATTGTATGGATTTAGCCTGTATTCACTTTGAGTTTGATTATTAGGATTGGGAGAAGAATGGAGTAAAGCAGTATGTATATCCAACTTGGGATTTCACTCCTCCTACTCAGAAGCACATCGCTGACGGTCTATTTGTGATTGATAGGGAGAGATTGAACAAGAGCTCAGTGTATGTACACTGTAAAGCTGGTAAAGGAAGGAGTGCAACAGTTGTAGCATGCTATGTTATGAAGGTATGATATGTGGGGGAATGTTAGTGGTTATATCAATGTAGACAAAATGCATATAGGCTAATTTTAAGCAATTTGTCGTTTAGTGGGGATTGGTTTCTTTAATTTTTCATTTGATGATGTTTAGACTACAATATTGTCTGTCAGTGTTTTGAAGATTTCTAAGCTAATTCGTCACAATTTCTTACTAGATTTACATGTACTAAAGTAGTATACAACTTCAAATAAAAAATCACAAGCAAAAAGCGTATGCCAAAAAAATACTATAAAAATACTATAAATACTATAAAATACTTTAGCTAGTGCCTAGTGGTCTGGTTTGGTAAAATATTTATTGATATTGTAATTTTTAATGTTTATTTAGAGGTACAAGATGGTCCCTGATGATGCTATTGATTTCATCGAGAGAAAAAGACCACAGATAAGAATGAACTCTCATCAGAGACAAGCAATAACTGAATTTTATGAAAATTTAATTCATAAAGCAAACTGATACTTTAGTTTTATACATGTATGTGTGTGTGTGTATTTGCAAGATGAAAGTATTGCATGTTGACTATTGTATTAAATACTTTTGTCTTACTGAAAGAAATTTCTGAAGTTAAAATATCTACCCACTTGTAATAATTAATTCTTAATACATTAGTAAATTACAGGTCACGTTAGTATATCCTAGGCTCAAATGGGATGGATCAAATCATCATCCACGTGTTTGTAACTACGCCCAGAGTCAACAGTCAGCACTTTTTGGCAGAGAGAACATGCTGGAGAGATTGGCTGCCTGGTTTCTGAACACATACGTAGCCGAGTATGTCGGAAACTTAAACACTGACCAGCTCAATATAGGCCTCTTCTCAGGTAAGGGAGAGGGCGAGAGGGAGAGCTTCCTCATTTTCTTACAACAGGTGCAATTGTGTTTGATAACCTTGTCCTGAAAAAGGATGCACTAGATAAACTAAAGCTACCAATTGAAGTCAAAGCTGGTAAGAGTAAAGTATCTATCTCCATATTTGCTACTGGAAGAAAAATTGAGCTTTAAGCATTTAGGCTACCCAATAAAAAGATTCATAGTTTCCCATTAAATAGGTCAGTGGGCTTGCTGTAGACTGGCAGCTTTGTTTAATTAGACAGTATGAACTGTGTATATGATTAATGAAAACTACCATAGTTCATAGGGTGGTAATGGGGAAATATGAATCAGTCAGAATCGAGGTCAGAATGATTTGAACCCTGTAAAGCTATAGTACAGGGTGTGGTTTCCAGTGGCGAATATGAAGATTGGACCTTGTTTGATGAAACCTTTCCCTCCCTCCCTCTCTTTTAGGATATCTTGGTAGGCTTAAGTTACAAATGCCAATGAGGTATTTCAATGATCGGAAGTGGCTGATAGAAATTGATAGGCTATACCTTGTAGCTGGACCACCTAATTTAAATAAGGTACAGTACATGTATGTCACTTTAATATCACTTTTAATTGTGTGTGCTTATTTTAATGAGTTTAATAAGAGATCAGACAAAATATAAAAATGACACACACACACACATGTAAAGTTAATGTATCATAGAAAAATGCACAGTAGACTAAAGTGTATGTAGAGCCAAACCTCCAATGCATCAAAATGCTAAAATAGTACATGCAGTTAAAAATAATGCATCATAATTATTGTGAAGTGATAATTTACGTTATTGATTGTAAGTGATGTGGTGCATATTGACTGTGTCATCCTCTCTCTCTCTCTTTTTTTAGTTTGATCCGGATGAAGAGAAAGAATCTGCACAGTTAAAGAAAGAAGGGAAACTCTCTGCCATGGAACAGAAATGGAGGGAAGAGCAACAAGGAGGCTCATCATCACTCTGGTCATCTTTTGCTAGCTCTTTCACCTCATCAATAGCTGATGGTCTACAGGTATGTAATGGAGAGAAAGAGAGCGAATGAAAGTGAATGACAGTAGAGTGGGAATTAAGATAGTTGTATAGAAAGAAAGATAAACAGAAGGAGAATTAAGTACATTAATGGAATTTTTTATTAGCAGATACCTTTTTAAATAAAGCAAAGTAACTATTGCACCACATAATATACAGTGTACATGTATGTATAAAAGTATGTACCGTATTTCCTGAAACAAAAACCTGCTAAAATGGTATTTGGACCTCGAAAACATCACGCATTTGACTTCAGGAACTTTAGACAGTATCCACAAGACTACTGAGTCACTTCAAGGCTACTTTTTGTGCATTTATTACCCGAGCCACGTGTAGGCGTAAAGCGAGGGTAAAGCAGTCGTTTTGTCTGTGTGTGTGTGTGTGTGTGTTCGCTTGATCTCCACTTTTGAGCTGACACTGCTTTCTAGTCTAGTCCTCAAGAGTCTTATAATCAACACTGGCTCTAGAGAAAGTTATTCTCCGTCTTGGCAATGCTATATTTTTCTTTTCCGTGGAGTAAGAAGCTGGCAAAGTCACCAAACGTAGGTCGGTTCCCCGACAACTCTTTCATAGTGAGAGCAAAAAAGCAACTGGGTAGATAAAACAATAAAGCAAAGCCTCATCTTTCATTAATATGAGAGGAATTGCTCCAATCATCTTCGTTTTAAAGATATGGTAGCCCAAAAATTCATACTTTTGTGAGTTTACACGAGGCTCTCTTCTCCCGAAGTAGCGGCCAGAGTCTTTAAACATCAGGGGCTCAAAATACATATGTATGCAACAAATAGAGCCTAACAAATGTATGCTAAACTGTTTAAAAATCAAGAAAAACTAAAGCTTTCTTCACCACTTAGGGCCATGTGCCACCATTACTGTGTGTGCGGGTGGAGCATGGCTTGATTGAGCCACACCTTCATTGCAGCCACACCTTGACATTGCTGCAGCATGCAGTGCAGCAAGCATGCTGGAGCTTCTTTTCTGTCTAAAAAACAAAAAATTCTCTGTCTCAGAACATTCACTAAGTTTTTACATGCTGAAGCTTCTTTTTTGTCTCAAAACTTTCACTAATTATTTTTCTCTTAATCTATTATAATTTTTACACAGATTGTGGCGAGGGTATGCACTTTAGTGCTCTCGTACTTGAATTGTATTGCTATCCCAGTGTTTATTTGCATGCGGCTTCTATTTAAGGATATACAGTACTAGCTTTAGTACAAGGTAAAGAACAACTACTTGTTCCAAAGAGCCAAGGGCATCTGTATGTGTAGGAAGGAAGAGACTGAGAGATGTACATGGAGGGAGATTTGATTTTATGTTCTGTACATTATACATGTACATGTACATTTAGGTAACATTTAACAATATTCATATTCGTTATGAGGATTCAGAAGTAGGCGGGGCTTCAGATCCACTGGTAGTCGGTTTGATAATTGATGAGCTAACATCAAGAGCGACCAATGAGAAATGGGTTAGAAATTTAATAATAATAATAATAATAATAATAATAATAATAATAATAGTGATAGTACATATGTATTAGTAATAGCAATAGTAATAATTTGAATTAAATAATTACAACAAAACAATATACAGGACTGGTTAAATGAAGTAAATAATTCAAGAGCTTTTATATGTTTATATATAGTGATGATGTATCTTAGATACATTAACAGTAAGATAGGTTGCATACATTAATTAATTTTATTAGTATGGAATAAAGTCAATAATGAGCCCTTTACATTTCTCTTTATATTTTTTGATGTTTAATTAGGAAGAGGTGGAGTTTTCTTCTGGTGGTAGCAAATCCTTTAAATTGATCAGTTTAGTTAATCTGGGTGTCTATTGGGACCATGAGCTGTTTGGAGACCTTGATAAAGATGAATTTATGGTGAGAGAGAGAAAGAGGGAAAGAAGCAAGGATAAAAAAGAGAGAGAGAGGGACTATGAACATTATATTGCTATATATACATGTGTATATATAATTATGTAGATTTATATACATTTCATTATCATTCATAGGACTCAATGCAGAAGAAATCCTTAACAGTCAAAGCTACACGAGACATGATGTCCAGCAGTTATTATGCACCAACTGATCCAGAGGCCAGCTCTCATTCACTCTCGCACATATTGCTACCACTAGAAGCTAAGGCTATGATCACGCTTAATCGTTCAGCTGATCCTTTAAAGATATCGGATGGTCCAAGAGTATCTGTCGATGCTCAGTTGAGTGATGGGTCTATTGTACTGTCACAGGATCAGGTTAATAAGTTTGTTGGTTTATCGGATGCTTTTAAGCTACGGATGATATCACAACGGTATCGTCACTTGAGACCAAGAGTTACCATAAAGCAAAGGTACGTTAGTTAAGTTTGTACATGTACTGTGTTATTTACATTGTGTATTTATTGTATTGATACTGTTCTTGTTTTACTTTTGGTTGTGTAATAAGTCAATCAGCATTTAATAAAAGTGGATCAAGGTGTTATTACTACATATTATCCTTATCTGTTTTTACTTCATTTAATATTTTCCATGCAACAATGTGCATGATGTTATTATTATTGCTTTTAATATTATTATTATTTTTAAAATCATTATTATTATTATTATTATTGTATAGTCCTGGTGCCTGGTGGAGGTTTGCCATTGAAAGTGTGAGTGAAGTCATCAGAGAAAACCAGAAACGTCTCTCACTTGATTTCGTACTAAGAAGAGCAAGACAGAGTGTGCTGTATGTCTCTGCTTACACTAGCCACCTCACACAATCAGTAATCAGTGAAGATACCAAGAGAATATTGGAAGAGAATGAGATTGAGTTGAATTATGAGGAGCTGGTGATACTGAGACGTGTGGCCATGCATAGGATAGAGAAGGAAAGGGCACTAGCTGAAGTAAGTGCACATTGCACCAGGTACATGTTAATACTGATGTACATGTATTTGCAATTTTACATTTACGTTTACTGCAGGGTTCTGCCTAGAAAAAAAATGAGAACTAATATTGTGCCTTTTAAATTTATGTATGCCATACTAGTAGACTACAATATCATGCTTTATGTATGGTTATTAGTATTAATTGGATGGTTGGTCTAAGTGATGAACTGGTTGGTTCATTGGTTGAGGTGGTTGTCTCAACCACCCCTGTCCACCATAGGCAGAACTATGGTACTGATGTACATGTACATGTGTATTTGTACCTTTAAATGAAGCATGTATTTAGTGGTATATCAGGGTTTCCCACAAATAAAGCATGCTAAATGTTAAGAGAGCTACATAAACAACACAATTTAGAGCTAAAAAGCACTGCATTAACCCATTAAGTGGGATCCTCCTCCAATAAAAGAAAACCTCTATACTGTATAGTGTATGCCATTAAATTAAAAGTTCCCTATGTGCATCAAACATCCCTATGTATATGTGTATAATAATATTTTTAGCTCTTGTTGTGTTGAATTTTATGAATTTTTTATTTCAGGAGGCAAAGAGAGTCGGAGCAGCTGAAGGAAGGGGAAACTGGTTGAGCTACTGGTGGACAGGAGGGAGGGAGGGACAAGAGGAGGGGACTGATGGTGCCCCTGTTAATAACGACTTAATTACTAGTGACGAAGAGAAGATATTGGATGAACTGGGTCTTGAGATGGACGGGAATAGCAAATTGTTACGTGACAGGATATTCGCACAATTATCGTTCACTTTGATAAAAGGGTCTCTTCAGCTCGTTATTGAGGAGGGAGGGGTTTTGGGACCACGCCCACTTTTGGAACTTGAGGTAATAGGCATGCGGGCAATTAGGGTATGAGCATATACAGTACGGTACAGAGTATTTATAATTAGTAAATGCTTTTATGTGCTTGGAGAAGTCTGAGCTGATTCAGAATTTTTAAAGTTGTTCCAAATTTGCCATTCTACATGGTATTCATAATCAAAAATGGCTAGGAGAGATTTCTAAATTTTAATAATTTTTCCTGATACATATACATGCTCTTATATTGCGTAGAACTTTTCAGCTCATCCCAACTGAAATTGATTTTTTAATAATTTTTTAAAGTTGCTCAAAAAGCTGTATGCTACTATGTAAGTCTTGTCAGCTCATGAAGCATGCTTTTTATATGTAACTCACCTAGCATGCCTTGTATTGAAACCCTGCTGTTATTTATTTCTTTCTGTTCTCTCTTAATCTTTCCTCTTCTCTTCAATAGTTATCATCTCTTACCAGTAAGGTTGACTACAGACCTCGTTTAAAATACAGTTCAGTTGAAGTGTTTCTTAAAGAACTGAATGTGTTTGATCATTATCATGAAGACACTCATTTCCCTACACTTGTACAACCAAAAAAAGTAAAATGAATGATGATATTTTTTTCCTCCCATGCCCCTTTTATTTAATCATTTTTTTTCACTCTACTCTCTCTCTCTCTCTCCTTCATTTTCCTGTATTTTTTCTCTCTTTTTCACTCCCTCTCCCTTCTCCCCCCCTCTCTCTCTCTTCTAGTCTAATTCATCTCCTCCAGTTGATGTATTTCATGTTCAGTTGGTCTCACAAGAAGTTGAGTCGTTTAAGAGACACAATCTCTCCCTCACTACATCTCCACTTGATGTTGTGTATAATCCACTGATAGTCAATCGCCTCAAGAGTTTCTTCTCTTCCTCCTCCTCCTCTTCAGTTTATGATGCCGAGAAGATCGGGAGTGTTGTGGGCGGGGTTGACCACACCCTCCTTGATAACGTGTTGGTAAAGCTTGATATATCCGCTCCTCACTTACTGATACCAAAAGATGTGACACAACCAAACTCAACAATGGTTGGTTGAATACTTGTACATGTACATGTACATGTATCCATGCACACAGACCATTGACATGTATTTTATTGACATGTGTTGAACTGTCGATACATGTTAACATGTACATGTACATTTATATTGTATTGCTATACTGTTTGTGTACATGTACATGTACATACATATACACGTGTTTCTTGTATGTATGTATGTGTACATGTACATGTACATGTAATAAAAATGATGTGCCCTTTTTTTATTTATATCCAGGTTGTGGTTAATCTTGGCCACATGACCTTTGAGAGTGTATCTGATTGGTCGTTTGATAGCGAGAGGATGGAGCTAGAAGAGGATGATCTTGACATTGATGATGACGGTAATAATGAGCTAATTTTCTAAAATTTAATTTATTTCTAATTACCAAAAATATTGGTTTTAATTTAATTTTTGAAAATTATTTTTATACAATTTCAGATGAGTTTGTGACTCCGCCCTCTACCCCACCCCTTTTATCAGAATCCTCTCAGTCTTTAACTCAGATTCAAGTGGAAGAGGCTATCAACAAGAAGCCACACCCATCAGTGATTAAGAACCGCCCATGTAAAGTACAAGGGTATGCAATTATTTGTGTGGGTGGGTTTTTAAACGGCCACACCTCCTTTTAGTTATGTTCTCAAGTTATCAGAGATACAAGTATTGGTAGGCGAATTTAATGAGATACAGTCGGCAATTAGTAGTGGGCGGAGCTTGCTTCATTTATTGAACCAGTTTAATGCAACAGCACAAATAGAGAGGTACTGTAATTATATGTACATGTACATGTATGTTCACATATGTACATGTATGTTCACGTATTATATAAAGTAGCTGTGAAAAATACAGTGGTATGTACATGTACATGTACAGTACGTTAATCACATCACCCTTAGTTGTATTTATTTATTTATTTATTCATTTACATTTAGTTACATGTATTTGTTTTGTTTTTAGGGTTAAAAGAGATGGAGCTCAGTTTAACGTTACAGTTGATCTACCACTGATACATTTACATATTGATGAGACCAAGGTAATTATGTACCTTAAGGTTACTTTTAAATGCGGGTACTATTAATTGCGAATTTTTTTGCATTTGGGTTAAAAATTGCAATTATTAATACTCGCAATTATTAATAATGACATCACAATGCCATATTACTATTAGTAATAATTACTTATTTGCAATTTTTAATACCAGCAAAATCTACCTTGTGCTAAAATCGCAAAATTTAGTACCCGCAATTAAAAGTCACTTTAAGGTAGTCATGCATATGTACAGGTAATACTGGCACACACAGTTGGTTTAATAAAGAAATTGAACGAACTCAATTTTTGCTTACTTTTTTTAGGTCCATACATTATTAACATGTCTGATACCACCTACTAACGTTGATACTGATGCCGATACTGATACTGATACTGATCATACTATCACTGCTACTAATAGCGAAGGAATCAAATCAATGTATTACTCACTTGATCACGTCAGTCCTCACTCTTCCCTCTCCCTCTATCAGTCGGCTTTTAACTTCATGGGATCATCGTCGCATGAGAGTGAGTCACATGATTCTGCTGCCGATGATCATGCGACTGACGCCACGAGGAGAGTCAAGCACTTATCAACTGAGTATGCATCGCAACAATTGATTAAAGTTCAAGTGAATATTAATGAGGTTAATCTGGACTTGAATGCTAATGGTAAGAGTGTATATACATGTATTATATAAAACTGTAGCATTTTATGAAAATGTTCACATTTACACTTCTAAAATTCTACATTGCATAAACTGCATGTATATACACTAATTTATTATTACTAAGGGAAATTTTTCGCTAATGTACATGTACATTTGTGCATGTACTTTTTATAGCCAGAAATTTAATGGCCCACAATTTCTCTTAATTTGGGAAATTTTGAGTAAACGCAAGGATGGACAAAGCTTCACAAATATACATGTACATGTACATTGTGTGATAACTAAAAGTACAGTGTAAATTACTCTATCTCTCCTTTCCTCAGGTGTAAGACTGGTTGAGTTAAAGATACTCAGTGTTAGAGCCGGTGCCATACAGAGACCATATGACACATCGGTGAGACTCCTAGTGGAGGAATGTGTGATAGTGGACACTAAACAAGACTACGGGCCACAGTACGAACTTATATTCTGCTCTAATGGACAAAAGCTATTCACTGACACTGGGCCACGGAGGATTGAAGGGGATGTATTTGAGTATTGTCCTTCTAGTGATGGACTTATTTTCATGTCATTGCTAATACTGAGCCCTTTGTCTCCTGATCATCCAACTGTACTGCTCCCTGGAGGTGAGGGTGGGGCCTATACTGCATACACTGATCAGAGTATCATTAGGAAGTGTAATGTTCACTGTACACCAGTTGATATAGTAGGTGAGTTTATGTACTTACATTGTTGTGTTAGGTTCATGTATAGTGAACTAGTACTGTACTTTGTAAGTACTATTTTTTAAAGAGTGGAGTACTATTTTTTAAAGAGTGGAGTACTGTTTAAAATTGATCAGAAATCTACATGTACATGTACACAGTACGTGTATTTTTTAAAAAGTAGAAACAATAA